TTACTTACTTACTCACAAAGGATTCCTAAAATACCGGTATTTTACAACTCGCGGACCCCATCTGTTGCATGCAAATCTAGCGCAACCGTACACAAGCGACAGAAACTCAGCTAGGCCGGTTAGGCCCCCGTGCAATATGCCGGCATTTTTTGAGCATTTTCGGTACAATCCGCGAACCCAGCACTTTGGGCTCGTGATGCAGCATTTTGGGGGAAACGGAGCACTTGGCCGTTGTGTATCAAAATTGAGAGAAGAAAAACTTCCCAAACAAGAACGTTTCTTCCGCATTCCGTGGGTTAGCTTCTTGTTGAGTAGTTTATGAATTGTTTACCATGGCAGACTCGAGCAAGTCTCTTATTGAGTCTTTTCTGACTTCCTGGTTTTGACGGCGTGTGCTGAGGATGACAAAAAAGTGAGCATTTTCCCAGCATTTTCAGCAAGGTTTGGGAGCATTTTCGGCAAGGTTTACGAGAATTTCCCAAAAGCATTTTCGGCAAAGTTTCGGGCATATTACACCGGGGCCTAGCTAGGGTCAACTTGGGCCAACTGGTTCGAGCGCAATCTGGCCAGCGGCGAGCAGGAAGTCAGGACATTGACCGTCGATGGGGCAGGCAGTCAAAAGCGTAACTTTGGCTATAGCTTTTGACACAGTTGCAAGTTTTGAGCAGGCTTTTTGTTTGTTTTTCTGCCGGATGATCTGACCCGGCTTGACCCGGCTGGCTTGCATGCGCCAGGTACACTCTGACCGGGCTGTGTTGAATGTCTAGAGCAGGCCCTGGAGGGGTGTGACATGTGAATCCGAAATACAGCACAGAGGCTGTACACTCAATCAACTAAAACAGCACTCTGTTCCTCCATTCCATTCCTCATCAGGGCCCCGTCGTGGATTTTCAGTCTCAGGCGCAATGATGTGCTGCAATAATGGCAATGTGTCTTGTACCATTGCTGGTACAATGTGTCATGCAACTGTGTTATGCATCTGCTGCCATGTAACTATGTTATGAACATGAAGTTGTACAGGCATGCCTCCATGTCCCTGTGTACATATATATGTAGATAGTGTGCGCACACAGTGACGCGACGACAACAGTAATGCATCGACTCACTGCCTGCAAGATGGAGTTACGCTTCTGCACGTTGGCAACATGCTTCAGCGCCTCGTCCAGCTGCTTGGTCAGTACCTCCTGGGTGCTGTGCGCGTCTTCCATGGCTACTGATGCTCTGTCCTGCCACAATCGAGCATCCTCTCTGGCTTGGTCACGCTGCCGAGACAAAATTTGAAGCTGAACCTGTAGTTGCAGAACGAGCAAACACCACAGTCAAAACCGATAATGTATTACAGGTACTGTAGAACGGGTAATTTTAGCGTTTTCCCATTGTCAACCGGTTAGCGACGTTTTATTTTAGCGATTTGCAGCGATTTTACTCACGGATCACCTGTGCACTACTAATATCCATATAAAAATCGCTCTGTGAGCGGTTCTGAAAAACCTTTACTGGTACTGCCCCGTCGTAAAAGTAAGAAATTAGAACTGGCCCATTGTCCCCCCAAATGCGAACTGATCCACCTAAATCGCGAATGACGGGACCCGAACGCACCAGTAGCACGAGGTCGGGAGGGCACAGGATCATAGGGTAACACCAGTAGTAGCAGTAGAATTTATTATTTTGATAGGGAAGCCTACCGCTAGTACAGTACAATCATGGCCTATGGTCCGGACCAACATCCCCATCTGCATCCACAGGTAGGAACCTCGTGCTACTGGTGCGTTCGGGTCCCGTCATTCGCGATTTAGGTGGATCAGTTCGCATTTGGGGGGACAATGGGCCAGTTCTAATTTCTTACTTTTACGACGGGGCAGTACCAGTAAAGGTTTTTCAGAACCGCTCACAGAGCGATTTTTATATGGATAATTTCAGCTCTTTTTCTGTTCCCTCCCCACCCCAACCCCGAAGGTAAACATGATGACCACGCGCGCGATGTACTGTATGTAGCCATGCGACTGCAATAGGGACCTTTCGCATTTGCTACGAAACGAATGCGAAACGAAAGTTTGATTCGGCTCGTAATCGTTTCGTTGAAAACAGATTTCAGGTTTCGCAAGTCGTCATGCAAATGTGCATGGCAACTACGAATACGGCCGCGGGCGCCGGTAGCTTGGCGTACGGGTTTTTACACCCACACGTGCATGGATCATGGAATCAAGGGAAAAATGTGTACCTTGCAAAACATGTGTACCTATCCAAATAAATGTGTACCTGACGGATTCGGAGCGTGCCACGAATGAAGAGGCTTCCATTCGTGAAAACGAGTTCTCCGCAGGGACTCTGACGAATCCTCGAACCCAGGTGATGAATCAGCATTCGTTTCGTATCCGTACGCGGGGTGCGAAAGGTCCCTAATAACACACTGATACATACCAGCCCTCCCCGCCTGGCTACCCCGCACACAGATACACAAACATGTGTATGCACACGGCACACACACGTGGCCACGCACACATACGCACATGCACACGACACAAACAGGAAATTCTTCATGTATAATGCCATGCAAAGCAGTGGCCACCGTACTTGAGGAAGTCAGTTGTGAAACAAAAATAATTCAACTACAGTGTGTAGACAAGCTGACGGCCAAAGCACAACATAGCAAACATGACATTTGCCCAAGGATTGCAGTTTGCAGACCATGCCATGGAAGCAGCGAATACAGAATGTAATATCATACAAAGTGACAAGCAAGGACGTGGCCATCATACACCAGAAACTTGCAGAAAGTCACATATCCAACAGATAGAGAAGTGAACAGCAATCTGATACAGCCCACACAGGACAAAGCGGACCTGATACTCGTCCCAGGATCGCAAGTGGCAAACCCTTTTCAATGCATAACATGCAGGTGTACGTTAGACGCATGAACATCTGACCGTGTCGCCAGCATACAATGTCATCACATGTTTACCCCACAAGTTACACACATGCACAGTAGAAGCACAATGAAAGCAATAGAGAAGTACGATGTGGTTGCTGAAGCATCTTCACACTTCAAATTCAGACTTCAATGTGGTCGTCACGGGATGATAAACCTGCAAGATACAAGTGATGAAGAAAGAAAGCAGAAGGTCGTGAGGTAGGCTATGAGACACCACAAACGGTTCACCTACTTCTGAAGTACATGTCTGTTCAGGGCTAGTGCACTCACACGGAGAATTGTCATAATCGAGCATTTCCCAAACTGAGAAGTGCAATGAAATCCACTTGCATGCACAGGAGCAATTTTGCAATATTATGATGCGCAATTCGACACGATCTGCGATGCTGCGTGCGATGTGCCCTGCTGTCATGATAGTGACAGTCACCGCGGTATGTTTTGTCAACGTCGCCCGTGCACTCTTCTGTCAAGTCCAAAGTGCTCACATACTTGGCAATGTTTTTGCAGTGATTGACTTTTATCCTAGTTATGTCACGGGTAACTTTAATGAAGTACCCGCAGGCCGTGTCGATCTGCACATCGTCCACTCTCTCATGTACTTGGCCTGCTTTGTCTGTGTATCCATTTCATGTGCGATCCACAAAATCGACTAGACAGTGGGTGCAATATGCTCTCTACCTGAAGACGTTCTTCTGGCGACATCTCGCCATGTACTTGGCCTGGCTTTGTTTGTGTATCCATTTCATGTTCGATCAACAAAATCTCAATGCACTACAGAGACTAGACAGTGGGTGCAATACGCTCTCTATCTGAAGACGTAAACCATTAAATTTTTTGGAAAAGTTATAAATAGCGGAGTCCTCCGGATCGATAGAGTGCTCAATGCGGAAGCAGAGCAGTAACACACTAGTCACAGGAAAACCACGCGTCTTGATTGTCGTAACTTAAAGTTTCATGCCATATAGCAATCTTCAGACAACTGATCATCAGTTGTCTGAAGATTGCTATATGGCATGAAACTTTAAGTTACGACAATCAAGACGCGTGGTTTTCCTGTGACTAGTGTGGAAAAGTTATACGTACACCTGAAACGTAATGAAGTACAGGAATAGAGAGAGTGACTACAATACGCTCTCGACCTGATATAGTGATAACGTGAGTACAAGACACTCTCCACCTGATAACGTGTAAGGGCCGATTCCCACTACGGTACCGTGAGTGCCGTGCCGTGAGTACCCATGGTGATTTGCTCACGTGAGGGGCAGTTTTGGCGCGAGTTCATTCCGTGGCTCCTGCCGTACCGCGCCGTGGACATTCCGGTGCCGAGGGTCTCTGGGGGGTGGAAATGGCATGCCGTTGTATTCCGTGAGGTCGAATGCAGTGAGTAGTAGGTATTTTACTACTCCCTGAAAGGAAGTTTTTTCTTTCTTTTGTATTTGTGGTACGAAGTTTTTTCTTGGCTTTTGGCTTTTCGATTGGTTGATTCTTGAGCTTTCTCCAGTCATCTCCCCCGCTATTTTCCCTCAGGACCAAAGTCAGAAATTGATAAAAATGGTGATCCGGCCTGCCGACGGAATGCACGGAATGATTGGGCGCAGGTGTAAATCACTCTCAGCTTCAAGCTCGTACCGTGGGGTACACGTGACCTACCCAAATCGTCGGCACGGCACTCACGGTACCGTAGTGGGAATCGGCCCTAGAAGGTAACATGTCTACAGTCTCACCGTACCCTTCCGACACGACTGTGGACCATTAAATTTTTTGGAGAAGTTATACGTACACCTTAAACGTAATGAAGTACAGGAATAGAGAGAGTGACTACAATACGCTCTCGACCTGATAACGTGAGTACAAGACACTCTCCACCTGATAACGTGTTAGTAGAAGGTAACAGGTCTACAGTCCCACCGTACCCTTCATCATTCCTCATTCACCATCGCGCGATACCCTGGCACACACTGGCAACATATCAATGGGGTGCCTTACCGTCGTCTAGAAGAGACGTCTTCGCAGCAATATTTTCCCTCCTGCGCATTCAGTCGCCGACGCGACAGCGTTCACGGGGCCGTTCCAGTTGCGGAAGACATTCGATTCATCGGGCCAATTCAGCAACAGGGCCGTGGACACACAGGGGGCAGAGGAGAGACATTGTTAGTGGACAAGAAATATGCAGTGGCAAGTGGCGAGTGCCGCATGGATGTCAAGTTGTCATGCACAATTCAGCTATTACTTACGGTCCAGCCAGTCCTGCCATTGCTCGCTCGTCCTGGTTCCTCCTCGTTCGTCTTCCTGCACGTCTGCACTTCTCCTTCCCCACCGTTGGCTTTGCGGTACGGGGGTGCCGGAAGGAATTCCCACCATGTATCCATGTACATGAAGTCCCACCATGACTCTCCATGTACATGTCCACGGCCACGTCAGCAGTTTGTATAGTACCGGAAGGAGTTCCCACGATGTCTCCAAAGGCCTAGAGCGGACGTCTTTGCAGCAATTCTTTTCGCCCTGCGCATTCAGTTCGCCGACGATGTCTCCAAAGGCAAAGGCCTAGAGCCTAGTAGAGGGGACGTCTTTGCAGCAATTCTTTTCACCCTACAAGTTTGTAGTACCCTGCACATTCACTCCGCCGACACGACAGCGTTTAGGGGGCCGTTCCAGGTGCAAAAGGTCCACGTCAGCAGTTCTCAACTATTTCGCGTACGGGATAGTCGCCGCGACAGCGTTTAAGGGGTCGTTCCAGGTGCAAAAGGTATCCATCAATGGCACTTTGCAGTATGGGGTACGGAAAAGGGGCCTCCTCGTTCGACTTCGTCGACTTCTGCAGTTCTCCTTCCCGTCAGGGGTACCGAAAGGGGCCTCCTCGCAGTTGTCCTTGCCGTCAGGTCCACGTCATGCAATTCTCAACTATTTCGCGTACGGGATAGTCGTCTTTGTCGTACGCGACATCGGCGTTTACCGAGTGGCATTGGCACAAAGCAGACCGTTGACGGGGTCATGTGTCAAAAAAGTATCAACAACGTGTCGACTACGTGTCGACCACGTGTATAGCGGTACACTCAGCGGTACACTAATTCTCGTGCCATTCTCGTGTCACAAAACTGGAACATCGAGTACCAGTATGGAAAGGCTTCAGACAGGAAGCCTTTCCAATGTCTCAACGGATTAGCGACTTGAAACTTTAGCGAAAATGAGTCAATCGCTAAATTCGCTAGGGTTTTTACGTCGCTAAAATAACCCGTTCTACAGTACAGTAAAATCTGTCAAGGTGACCACTCGAATACGGCGATCACCTGTCCCAGAAGACCACTGAGACCAGGACCAAGGGATGCCATTTCCAATCAAATGACTCTGGACAAGGAGACCACCTGGTAACAGAGACCACCTTTTGAAGGTCCCTTGAGCGGTCGGCTTAGACAGATTTCACTGTTTTTGTTTCTCAGTCAGTCCATATCCCATGGCATGCCCACACCAATCAAAGGAGGCCAGTGGGTGAAAACCAAATAAAGAAAATGATAGAAATGGAAAGCGTACCTGGAAGTGGAGCATAAGGAATCAAAACACTGCTCCCATCTATGAGGAATGTCCATGAAGGTTTGCAATGATCACCTGACACATGTATAACAAATCTAGGCTGGTACGGAAGTAGGAACATCCACTGCTTCATGCTGTCTGATACAGTGTGTCTACGAGTACATTCTAAGCTTCACCTGCTTTGTAGTTCTAGACCAGTACTATACCGTGGGTGGGCGCGAGTTTGGAGCCTGAACAAACCAGGAGTAGGCAGAACCATCCCTCCACCGTGATCTACTTACAGAAGAAGGCACACCCATCCCTCCACATTATTAATTTTATTTATTTTATTCACAATCACGTGGCACTAGCCAATGAAATGGTGATGTGGGTGATAGCCAGCCATGACCGTGGTCTAACTGTTACTACAAGAGCTCTCCGATAAACACCGTAGTGTATTTCGATGTAACAACAACTTCTGAGATTGGTGGCTGAAACTGAGGAGCACTAGGAAATCCAGGAGGATCATTCACCACAGGTGCAAAAAGTCTGATCATCTATAGCCGAGAGATACATTACATTGCATCATGACTGTGCTCTGCAATCACTACCCAGTGCTGGTAAGTGCGTACCTATGAGTATGAGTATGAGGCTATGTGCCAGTATTATTCAGTATGTCAGTAAGTGAGTGGAAATACATGTCAGTGTCACTGAGTCTAATGACACCCAGGACGATAAACTACTATTTTTGCCAATAAGCAGTGAGCAGTCAGTGCAGTTACAGCTATGCACTTCCAGTGATTGGTCTGAAAACTGCACAGATCTTGTAGACTAACTTCTACCCATGATAACCATTCCTAGCGGCTACACTGAACGAACTACACAATAGGTGCATAGTTTGTTGCCTTGAACGCTGACAAAAACTAGCCACGAACATTTGTGCCACTGAGTCGTTCGCTAATCATTGCCATCGCCTGTGCTTTGTCCAGGCTCCAGTACTCCAGTAGGTGCACTAGCTACACGACTGTACAGTCAGTGGGTTCTAGAAACCAAATCAAAACACGCATACCGTATGTCTTCGTCGCTGGCATCTTCTCCGGTGGAGTTTCGCAGCTAGAACGGTTTAGTATTGGAGGCGTCGAAGCGGTCGAAAGCTACAAGTAATCGACAAGTTGTGCCAAGCCCACAACATCACTTTCGTTCGACTTGCAACACGCATTCCTGTTCACTCCCTAACCACGCACATCCCTGTCCAAGATTCCGTTGTGGCTTCACCCGCAAAAACTAGGATTGGACTATCGCTCGAATAGCTATCTGCTGTCGGCACGCAATCAACCATCGCAAAGTCCTGCACGAGTGGCGGATTTATGTGCGAGCTCGTCTCAGGACAGTAGACTAGTGAGAACCAGAAGCGCAGACTAGCAGATACATGTACAAGACATAATTATCCAATGTCTATGATAGGGTGGGTGTATGGTCGAATCATCCACACCGACAGCGTAAGCAAGAGCATGCATGCAACCGTCTTTCAGTTCGGCAGAGGCATGCACCGGTTTTCAAACACAGCGCGACGCACAGCCGCTGTACCTTTAGGTTGGCATTGGCAGCTGCTTCGGACGAGAACTCTTCCCGACCCGCGAGATCGTCCATGGTGAGAAAGTCCAGCAGAACAAGCCAGCTGCACTACTCGATGCGTTCACGGAAGCAGCATCCAGCGCTGCAAACCTGCTAATCGCGACGGCTGGGACTCCTTCCTCAACCGCTCCTGTCCCGGATTGATGCAATCGGGCTACCGGAAGAAGAGAGCTTGCAAGCGAGATGACCTGGTTGGGAAGTCAATGATTTACATACTAAGCAGATCATCACCTCTGTCCGGAGTGGGCCATCCGGCTTGGCCGCCACTTCAACTATTACTTGCACGGTGACCGTCTGTCTTTCTTTTGTCAGGACTCAAGGCCGGCAGGAGCCAGTTGATCTCGATGGTGGACGTAATGATGCCACTCGATGTCAAGCCTCAAGGACTTAGGAGTTAGGTGTCTCCAAAGTAACCACTGTAGTTCATTCAAAACTAAAATAAATTCTTCACGGTAAGAAACTCAATGTGCTCGTACCGGTAGCCTGCTCGTAGTTGTAGATTGTCAACCACATAACCATCGTCCCTGACGATAATATTACGAAGCAGAAGAAATCCGACCCTTCGAGGTTAGTTCGGCACACTGCTGCAGCGTTGGATCAACGGCGATCATCCAGGACTCCAGCACTGCACGGCAGCTGTTACCACTGTTTGTTGTACTTGTTGCAGATCTACCGTGGAAGCGGACTTGTGATGTGGAAGTGCTAGAGTAGAGACAACTACAAAAAGGCTACTGTACAAGCCAAAAAGCTGTACTCCAGGCAGTCTAGTGTAGTGGCAGTAGCGCTGTTGTTCTGTGTGCGTGTGTGAGGGGGTGATTAGGGTGATTTCGGACACAGGCGTTGCGGTATGTCGATCTGGTGCTAAATGACTATGACATACTAGTAGTTGTAGTAGTTGGGGCAAGAAATCGTCGATATTTCCGCGCGAGACGGTCCGACAGTTACAGGGCATGTACGGGTGTTAGCTACGCTGCGGTATGCCACACATGGCGCAGACAGTGCGGTGAATGAATCGCATGGCGTGACATGATTGATGTGTCACGCTGCTGCTGGCCACACACTTTCCGTTTGCTGTGCAGCGTCCGGACAAGCATACTGTGCGACTGCGAGTACAGGTGCAGGTACCGGACTTAGTTGTGCGAACAACTGCTCGTAAAGTCCCCCCCCCCCCCCCGACTATTTCCGAATTCCCACGACGACTGGCCACGGCACGAGTCTAGAGCATGACTTACTCACTTGGGCATGCACTGAGTACATGAGTCTGCATGCAGTGATTACAATGCACGTCGTAACGACGCATTACTGCGGCATTAGCCATAGCCTAGGCGCATAGCTAGACTCCAGGCCAGGCAACTAGCTAGCATGCGATCGATCTTTACATGATCCACTCTAGACAGTATGTAGGCCGGCTCGATGACTCGCCCGGAGCCGCACACCTTTTCACCAGAGTCAGATCTTCTGAGGCCAACTAACGACGTTACGTGTAGTAGATCTACTAGTAGTAGTCTTTCACTTTTTACTTGACTTGTGTCCAGCCCCATACTGCCATACATACATGTACTATGCTTGCAACTGCAAGCGGAGCTGCTTTTGAGATCGAGAATGCATCCTCACCCCAAGGCAATGCCAATGGCCGCAGTACACGTACACTACAGTAAAACCTGTCGTTGGATCTCTCTCGAGTTCCTCAGGTGCAGCGCGACCACCCCACGGTGCAAGCAAAAGCGGTCGTTAAAACCAGGTGGTCTTTTGAACCAGGTCCCACAGTGTCTGTGTAGAACTGTCCGTGCAAAGGAAAACGGTCGTTAGGAGCAGGTGGTCGCTAAACCCAGAGGTCGCTTACACCAGGTTTTACTGTAGTACTCTAGTGACCATGGTGACTGTGTCTAGTCCAGCACAGTGTCCAGGTGTCAGTGTCAGTGAAGAGAAAAATGGTGGTGAGTCGCCTTCCCGCGGCATCTGAGCCATGACATAGAACGCACCCTGTGACTCAGGTCATGCATGCACAGACCGGTGCAGATAACACACACGAATTATGTGGAAGGAGCTGCATGGCCCAAGACGGAATGTTGGAATAAAGATGAACCGGAACGAATTGAGTCTCCATTCTCCAAGCGCTTGATAAAGAATACGTACAGTGCTGGCAACTGAAATCCGACCCCTTGCCGGCGCGGCGCGCCGGCAAGGGGTCGGATTTCAGTTGCCAGCACTGTAATAAATACTATAATGTCATGTACTTCAAGTACATGCAAACGTGACATTGAATGAAGCCTGAAGGACCACGAAGGCCAGTTCGGCCCTACACCGTACACATAACAATGCTACCAGTACCATGCTGCACGTCGCCTGACATGATCAATTCCGCGCGAATTGTGGCACCGAGAAAGCGTCGAAGTCCATCCTCGCGAAAATAATTGGCATGGACCTGTAACGGAACAACAGAAGCCTAATAGTATAGTGCTAATACCAGGCAGTAGTAATAAGGCATAATTATTATATCACCCGCCAAGTATCACTGTACTGTCAGCCATCTTCTGTCAGTATTTAGCACCTGCCCGGGTGCTCAACCACCAGGGCTGCATGTCTCGCACTAGTACCGGTAGTTGCACTGTCTGTACCGCTTCCAGTCAGGACACAGGTCAGTTGCACTGACTTGCAGCTTTGGGCCTTTGGGGGGAGTTTGGCCCTTTTGGACCGGGTCTTATTTTTCCGTGAGAACTGCTAATTACTGTACGTGTGACTTCCGTAGGTCTCTAAAGCCGGATGTGCTAATTGCAAAGTTGGCGCTGAATGATTGCTTCCAGCTGCTTTCGCCTCCTCACCTCTTTCCACCTTTTATCTTCGTGTCACCAGTGCTGCCACATCAATGACCAGTTGCCTTCTGCTTTTCATGACCTTGCGTGAACGTAAAGCTAGTATAAGTTCGTCGAAGAGTCGCAGCAACGTTTTCTCCTCTCTCCTGGCAATGTTTCAATAATTATTACTAGTGTTTGTTTGCTACAAGATGAAGCATGAAGATGGCCTGAAGTCTGAAAACACCCGTGACCCCGCACTACAAACAGTCGTCCTTGGTAGTCGGCAGTCTAACACTACCGCGTTACGGCGACAACCAGCAGATCTACACTTAGTACAATGACTGTCTGTACAATGACTGAATATGTAGTCACTACAGTCAGTACATGTACTCGTACAGTTATGCCTTATGGATTGCGTCTCTCTCTCTCACTGCCATGTGCCAGTGCAGTGTCTTATTGTAGCTACATACTAAACAATAGTAGTGACAGTAGTAAGGGCCGGCGGAACCGCTCAGGCTGGTCCGGCCATGGCCGGACCACTTTCCCAGCTGGATGGTCCATGTGATTCGCGCAAAACCGGTTTAAAAATATTCAGAGGTACATGACTGTATACTGTCGACATTGTCGTGTGCTTCGAAGTACATTGTAGCTCAGAACTCCGTGACGAAGATTGAAGATTGTTCTGCAGCACGACCTCCTGAGCTCACCTGCGCCATCCACCAAAGTAGCACCAGTCACTCCTATCAAAAATGCATGCACTAGTCAACATTGGAAACGAGCGAAAACATCGCACAACACAGAAAAGACTCGATCCAAAGAGGTAAGATCGAGGAAGCCGAAAAATAGAATCGTTCGTTCGATAATGAGGCAGTCGATCGGAGAAGTCGGCACGAGATCATAATTATAGCTACTAAATAGGTAAAAAAAACGATCGATAAAGACTTTAGTCAGTTAGTCTAAAGTCTTTATCGATCGTTTTTTGCCTATTCCTTACAGTGTTCAAACTCTTGAAATTGCCATCATCACCGGTACTGTGCGACTGTACTTATGGATATAAATAAGTTGTGTTTGTGTTCTTTGACTATGATTTTGTGCATTTTCTGGAGCCTCATGAGATGCCCAAATTCGCTCTATTTCACGTAAATTTTCAAATTTTCTTCTGGGGGAGGTCCCCCAGACTCCCCTCAAAGGTTGGCCGCACCACTCCAAAATTCCTTCCTCCGGCCCTGAATTTACTGTACCTACATGTAAGTCCTTACTTCACTCTTCACTTCACTCTCTGTAGTACTAGCAAGAGTGCATAAACTGTTTATGGACTCTTGGTACTAGTACTAGTAGTAGCCAAAGCTACACCATCTCAAGCTACATCATGACATGATGCATCCATCGATTATCCAGGGGGACCAGGGCCCCACGGGCCAAGCAAGGCTGCCCAAAACCTACACAGTACAGTACTTGAGTAGGGATTTCAGGTGAATTTTACAACTTGGGTTTTCACAGAATTTTGTTGTGCAATGTGAAAGACCAGGGTGAGAGGAAGCAGAAAATTTGAAGCAATTCGGGGCAGTAAAACTGAAGATATAGGTCAAGGAATACCCGCAACCAACCTGTACAATAGTTGTGTACAGACCATACATGTACATGTACATGTACATGGGTAATGGCACAATCCGGAAATCCAGAAGTCCATAGCAACGGCTAAACACAGCCAATCAACGCCAAACTTGATGGGAAGAGAGCTTAGAGGCCACTGATTCCAAAAATGTAATTTCTGTTGCAGATTTTAAATTTCCCGCCAAAAATAACAAACATGGCGTCCATGGCAACCGCCATAGCAACGGTGCTTATCAGTGCAAAATCAGCCCAAATAACCAACAACATAACGAACAATAGAGCTTCTTTTATGTACAAACTGTGAAGAGAGGTAATAAAAGAAAGGAAAGAAGCACAATAGACATGAATACTTCGAAGTAGAAACAAAAACATTATTTATGAACGGACCCGCCCAAGATCAATAATTATTAGCTAGCACGCTACGCTTGGTCAGGTGTCGCTTCTAGAAATTCCAATGTAGCGCCCGCTTTGCCTTACTTCCCGGCGCCGGCTGGAAAATGTTGCAAAGCACGACCACAAACCTTCACGATCATCATCTGCCGCAGAAGCTGGAAGCTGAAACTGTATAAATCTAACATTTTTGGGGAATTTTCTCTGTCTGCTTCGTCCACTTCTGAAGTATTTGGACGCACGGAGCAGCAAACAGTGCAGATACGCTGGAGCTCGTTCACCAGTGCAGTCCATGTTCACCTGGGCCACTGCCATTATCCAAGACGCAAGACTAGACTGGCACAAAAATGATAACCCCCAAGTCATCTTGCCACTACCCATAACATTAGTCATTAGTCGAATAGTGCGTGCACAATCCTGCATTTCCTGGCTTTCCAAACTGATGGCGGGTCTTCGCGCTAGACGAAGTGCCGCCTTGTAGAGTCTACTACAAGTAGGCAGTAGGCCAAGGAATAATATTACCGCGGCAGTAGCTGAAGTCAGTGAAGAACACACCCGGGCAATGGCACTCAGTCAAGGTTTTCTTCAGAACAGTTGGCGCTGTAGAACTGTTACTTCACGCACAGCGGCGCTGGTATGGGGAGCATTGACGCTTCCTCTTCTCCAGACCATTGTTTGCCGACACCTCGTCAGCGCAGAAGGTGAGAGCGCTTTTGACGCACATGTATGCCTGATAAGTCTACTGGCATTGCCAGTACTGTAGAAAGTCTATGCGGAGTTTCCATGTATTAAACCCCATTCTTCCTTCAGCGGCTGCAGCTTTTCTAGAGATGCGATCGAGAGTGGCATACTGGTGTATCCTATCGGTAGTGTGGTGTTGGTGGTGCGACTGCTAATGATTTCCCCTGCCAGTCAGCATAATGCCCGCTGATGCGTGTAACACGATCACGTTGTGTGCTTGGCCCGGAGAGCTAGAGCAAGAATACAATCATAATTGCAAGTTTTCTCCGTGGGAAGAGGAAGGAAGACTGCCTGTTGCCGCATGTTGGTGGTACATGTACATGTACATGTTACGATGTATATGTACATGATTGTACATGTTATCAGTTTCCTCAAGAGTACGTAACCTAATGCCGTTATGTACTCTTGGTATCATACAAGATCTTGAGTTTAGAAAGAGCGGCGGGAGATTCACTGGCTATCTAAATGAGAGTACACGTAACGAGAAACAGGGCTGTAGCTACCCATCGGTCCGGGCATGACCAGACTTTATTCCTAAAAGGTTGACCCATCCAATTATTTCTATCAAACTGGGTTTTTCGTTGATAATGTTCATTTACTGGAAAGGGACCAGAACTTTGCAGCCTAGAGAGCGTGTGTGGGCAGGCGTGTGTTTACCGCCATATTGCCAGGTGTGTCTTTACCACCATATTATCAACCATAAGTACAGCTGCAGCGGTGTCTTCAACATCATTCTCGCGAGTCAAGCTCCGTATGAAGACATCCAAGAAGAAGATTGCCTGATGAGTCCAGCGGGGACGAAACGTACGTCGCAATCGAGCTATGTCGTTGCTGTGCCATCATCTATGTGCCATGCGCTACTTGATGTACCAGCCTGCTATGCCGGATACCGCCAGCCATGCATCGACCAGGCACCAGGCGCGAACTGATGGTGGTGGTGGTGAGAAGGAGAGCTCTGTGCCAGAACTTTGCAGCCTAGAGAGCGTGTGTGGGCAGGCGTGTGTTTACCGCCATATTGCCAGGTGTGTCATTACCACCATATTATCAACCATAAGTACAGCTGCAGTGGTGTCTTCAACTTCATTCTGGAAAGTATCCCATTTGATCAGACCACCTGAAGTCCCGATGCTACGGCCCCAAGAGTTGCACATTCACAAAGCCCATCGATTATGGTTTCCAAATTCCGTCAACGTTACGAACTCGAACAATTTTTGTTGCAATTAGCCTTGTTGAGATGCGCTAACATGAACTTCCCGGTCACATGACCTTCCAGTCACATGACTGAACAGAGTAGAGGTTATGTGATTACATCATCAGTTGAGCTGCTTCTGTATGGAGTTGCATTTTGCAATGCTCTGGCTAGGCCTGTCCGGATTATGTTTTGCATATTTTTCGCATTTTGGGTTTTTTCAGCTTTTTTCGCATTTTGGATTTTTTTCAGCATTTTTCAACATTTTGAGCATATTTTGCATGCTCATCGGCAGCCTCGAGTGCACTTGGCTCTGAAGAAGCCATACAACGAAACAAAATGATTGATTCCTTTCGACTATCGAAAACAACCACATCCTTTGCACGCGCTTCCTCCGCGTGCACTTGGAACGACAAGGGATTCAAGCTTTACGCCAATTTGGTTGCCATGGTAACGGCAGCATAATTTTCGCATTTTAGGTGAAATTTTGAATTTTTTTAAAGATTTTTTACACAAGAGAGATTGGAAGCTTTGTTACAACTCTGAGTTTCACGTATTACTACGATCATCAGGCAACTGATGGATCCAAAATGGGCAGCCAGAACATAAGGGGGAGCAAGGTGGGAAATTCCGAGGTGTATCATAGGCGACGCGTATCATAGCGCAAGAGTCAGGTGCAGGCGTGAAGTTGCCAAGTCTTCAGACTTGGGGCTATGCAGCAGCAGTCCCGGCACGAATGATGTAGAATAGAGCTGGGGACTTTTATATGCCAAATCCACACATGCCCACACCATTACACACACATACATGTACATGATTGTACATGTACTGCCACACTCTCTCCCTTTTCTCACATACACATACACTCACACGCGCATACACGCCCACACACACACATTCTCTAAATATCTTTCTCCCGCACACACACACACACACACACACACACATTCATTCTCTAAATCTCTCTCTCTCTCTCACACACACACACACACACACACATATTCCTTCTCTAAAACTCTCTCACATACACACACACCACACACACACACACACACACACACACACACACACACACACACACACACACACACACACACACACACACACACACACACACACACACACATGCATTCTCTAAATCACACACACACACACACACACACACACACATTCTCTAAATCTCACACACCATGTACCCACACACACACACACTCATTCTTCAAATCTCACGCACACATTCTCTCTCTCTCTCACACACCCACCCACCCACCCACCCACCCACCCACCCACCCCCCCCCCCCCCCACACACACACACACAAACACACGCGTACGCCCGCAATACTCATCCGTCCATTCTCACACCTACCACACACATACCTGCACCCCGCACTCGTCCAATCATCCACACGCACTCTCTTTCTCACGCATGCACACAAACACACACACACACGCACGCGCACACTCACTCACACACACACACACACACACACACACACACACACACACACACACACACACACATACACACACACACACACACATACACACACACAAGGCAGCGGGACTACCAGCTAGATTCACGCGACCTTGCGGACAAAGTTACGGAGGTAGAACTTGTTTTCATGACGGCACTTGGACACAAGCTGTGACCTCTTGTTGAGGGAGCGGGTCTTTTTAGCATTTTGGGTAAATTTCCAAAAAATAAACATTTCCATTTTGACCCTTCAAAAAACGCATAATCCGGACAGGGTTAGCTCTGGCACAGCGATGTGCCAGTGCTGGTTTCAAGTGGTGCTTCTTTTCTCTTTTTGCTAGTCAATACTTGGCGGCACCCATACCCATATACCGTATTATCTCTAATACCGTACTGGCAATATATATGGTCGCAGTGAGGCCATGAAGCGTTACATTGGCACATGTTTACCGCACGCAGGGCGTTATATGCAAAGTCGCACAGGAGCCGTTACACAGGTTTCTATATTGCCGCAGTCCTTTTTTTGCTATTGCCGCATCACTTTTTTGCTATTGCCGCATCATTTTTTTGCTATTGCCGCATCATTTTTTGCAAACTGCAATGAAAAGATCGCCGCACCCCGCCGGACGCGCGTTACGAACGCAACGAAAATTTGTCGCACTAGCCTGGTCGCGCATTACACCGCACCCCCTGCGTTACGCGTTACGCGGCAACATATATTGCCAGTACGGTATAAGCACGGTCTTTTATTTTTTCAATGTACCTCCGCCCCGTGCTATTAATGGAGACGTTCCTTTATTGGAGACTGTTCCATTATTATTTCAACCTCATTTCAGAGACATGTTGCCATGCCAAATTCATGTCAGACACACACATTTCAGGGTTTTTTTCGCCGGTACAGATAATGAATTTACACAGTGTGCTTATAATGGAGACTGAGCACTTTATTTTTTGAATGCCGCCCAAGGTGTTCTATTATTGGAGACTTGCTATTATTGGAGACTGTGCTTATATTAGAGATAATACGGTAATATAAAGCAATTCCGCTGACTCGTCATCATGACTCACTGTTCCCGGGGAAAATCGCGGAAAAAATCCCAGAATTTGCAGTGTAATTTGCGGGTAAATACGGCATAATTTGAGGTGAATTTGCGGTAAATATGCGGTGAATATGCGGTGAATACTATTGATATCCGGCAAGTTTGCAGTTGATATGAGGCAATTTTCAGTGAGTATGTAGTGAAATCAATCAGTTACAAGTCTCTGGTGTAAGCAGTGCACTGTGTGTTCGTGTAGTGCAACAAAAAAGTTGAAAAACGCGGGAAAATCGCGGAAAACGCGGTCTTTTAAAAAATCGCAAAAAGACGCGAAAAAAACGCGGCTGCGGAATCGCGATTTTCCCCGGGGACAGGACTCACATACCCCCTACATGTATATACAGCAGGTTGAATCGGTCAACTCCAATGCCCCTTGGGTGTGGATTATGAAACTCTCTGCTGCATGGGGGATACTGGCTCTTCCTTATCCACAGCTCATCTCTTTACGCTCTCCGGTCCTAGTCTGTATTGCTGGCCCTCTTTTCTTCTGCTTTTCATGTGAATAGCAACAACGGTAGCTGATTGTTTGCAGCCATGCCTTTCCACCGCGCACAGCCAAGCGGTAATCTCAGTCGGACCAGAAGTCGACTCCTGTATACTCCAGTGCAATGTCAGCAGCGGCAGCGAGCCACTGGTCAGGTTCAGCATCCCGGATCACAGTGTGTACAACATCAGCGAGGCAACTACCTACGGGAATGCCGCCGTGTTAAACTTGTCCACGCTAATAACCATAACGAACACAACAATAGCAGGAGTGCTGATATCCGTACGCTATGCTGCAGTGGATAGCTCATACAAGATCACCGTGGGCCAGGATAGTGGCGACGTTGTGCTGCTCTCGGCATTCGACTACGAGCTGCAACGCCAGCACACTGTACTGGTCTACGCATGGGTCTACTCGGTGGACGGTGTGGTGCTGTTTAACCAGTCGGCAGTACTGCCACTGCTATCTGCTAGTCGCCTGTGTCTGGCTAACACCAGCGTTGTGCTGAATATCACCAACGTCAATGACAACTCACCGGTGTTTGCACGCCAGTCCTATTCTCTTGTGGTGACTAGTGGATTTGCTGCGCTCTTTGAAACCCTTGCTAAGGTAATTCCCATTCATGACTTGCACTCAATCATCACATACTACAGTGCCGCTCTACGAAAATTGGTCACGAGAGTCAAGTTTGCACTCTGCACCATTTCACAGCACACAGGTTCACAGGTCTGGGGCTGCACGGTGCCAGCATGCGTAATTGACTCACGCGGTTAACGAGTTAACATACTCAAATCAGTATACCATCAACAGGCCACTAGTATGAATATTGCACCAATGAACTCTACTAGTGAATAAATGAAAGCAAGGCAAATAAATTTAACCTCATAACAAGACACCGTGTGTCCAGTCTCTCCGGAGGCGTGGGTTCGAATCCCACCGCTGCCACCAAATGTAGTACGCGACCGAGTGACAAGGCAAAACTGGTTCAGTCTCTCCGACTCAAAACACAAGTAGCATTCTCAGGGAACAATATTGCACGAAAAGACAAACGTAGGTAGCACAGAACTTATAGTATATTGAAAGACTCAAGTGAAGGTAAGACGACAGAAACAACGGAAACAAAGACTCAGCAACAACTGGACTGGGCCACTGACACACGGATCTATATACGGTACAAGATTGCCAGTTACAGCTCCGAGCGCTAGCTAGCGATCTCTAAATGAAAGCAAGGGATCTGATGGTGCCAGCAATGCATAGTGCAATACATAGTAATACATAATGATTTGTGTAGGGGAAAGTCTGTCTACTACACCGTGGCATTGAACTATTGCCTGCTGCATACAGTGTCCATTTTACAGCTCTAGTCTTCCCTACAGGCTGACAAAGAATATCATCAGCATCCACTTGCTTGTTTTTTCTGTGTGTATGCACTAGTTTAAAAAGCTGAAGTGACGGTGAGTCGGAGTCTAGTGTTTAAACCGAACACGGATTCTTTGAACGAATAATCTATCGAATAATTTCGCCCTCCATCGAACGAATAATCTATATTCTATCATACGCATGATGGCATTTTCAGCACTTTTTAAAGGGGAAGTATACCCTAAAATCAAATTTTCACCAGTTGTAGTCTTCTGGGTGCTGAGTCGAATGGTCTTGGTCCGAGGAAGCTGCGACGCTCCCTTCCTTCTTTTTTCCCAATCGAACCCGCGCACTTCCACCGAAACTGGGTGACTGCGCCCTACTAGATGGGGATTTGTGTGCAAAATGTCACTAAAAGTGCTATGTCGTTCTTATAAAAGCACGAATGACCGCGATTGGCCCATATGTTGTAGTCTTTTGGACGCTGAGTCGACTGGTTTTGGTCCGAAAAGGCTGCGATGCAGCGTTCCTCCTTTATTCCCAATCGAACATGGTTGAACAAGTGGTCACGTGGTCCTGGGTGCCCAAATCACCTGGTCACCGCGCCAGCAGGCGACAACTTTCACACCAAGGTTCAACTCGAGTTCAACTCGAGTGACAGGACTGCACCCAAAAAAGGTCAAACAGGCTAGTAAGTTGTACCCTGCAGGCACGGTGACCATGGTGACCAGGTGACTGGTGTACGCAGGAGCACGTGACCGCTTGTTCAATCATGTTCGATTGGGAATAAAGGAGGAACGCTGCATCGCAGCCTTTTCGGACCAAAACCAATCGACTCAGCGTCCAAAAGACTACAACATATGGGCCAATGGCGGTCATCCGTGCTTTTATAAGAACGACATGGCGCTTTTAGTGACATTTTGCATACAAATCCCCATCTAGTAGGGCGCAGTCACCCAGTTTCGGTGGAAGTGCGCGAGTTCGATTGGGATTCAAGTAGGAAGGGAGCGTCTCAGCTTCCTCGGACCAAGACCATTCGACTCAGCACCCCGAAGACTACAACTGGTGAAAATTTGATTTTAGGGTATACTTCCCCGTAGTTTTTTTAATTGTTTTGCTGATTATCGGATTTTGTTATGTGGAGGTGCAAAACCGGTTAACCTGTACCGCCAAGAGTACATACCCCCCCCCCCCCCCCCCCCCCCCAGAGTGTGCAACGCCTGATCCAGCTCTGCATAGGGTCTTGGTCGAAAGTGGTCAAAGGCCGAAAATCACATTCACTGCATCCATGTTTCCCTGGTATGGAAAGAACAGAAGTATTACTAGATACCGATAGGAGATTAAAACTTGGAGAAGAGATTGAGAAGAAATATTACGAGCAAATCTACGCCGTGCAAATATCAGTAGGGTCAGCACTGAGCATAGATCGTTTTTTTTTTTTTTTTTTCAATTTCTGATAATTCCTACGGCTATTCGATTATTCGTTCACCCCACGAATATTCTAAATTATTCGATTATTCGATTATTCGTTTCAACACTTTCTTTCAAACTGTTCTAAAGGTGCCCACACTCAACTGCAGCCACTTCAAAAAGCTATCCACAGGCTATTGTCACATTTTTCGAAGGTCGCTCCACTGGATTTGACGAAACCTTGATGGCCCAAGGCCAAAATATTGTTTGATATTTTCGACTGGATTATTAAAAGAGACAAAGGAGAGACATGTTTAATGGTTTGTGAATGACCTAACTAATGCATTGTCTTTTATTGCTACATTGGATTCTTCACTCTGTAGATTCCAGCATCAGATGCCGATGGTGATGCAGTGGGATATCAGCTGGTTGGCATCTCGTCTCCGGCACCGGAATCCCAACCTCTGCCGTTCGGCATGGACAATGCCACTGGCAGTGTGAGCGTGACGGGCAACGTCCTGGACGGCCTTTACAACATGACGTTGATAGCTACGGACGGCCGGCACTTCACCGGTGTGTCACTGCTCATCACCGTCATCAACTCCTCACGCCTGTGCAGCGACGACAGCGGTGGTGGTAGCCTGTGTAGGAACGGTGGCACGTGCGTCCGGGACAGCGCCGAGTCGCAAACCGGCGGCTTCACCTGCTACTGTGTACCAGGCTTCAAGGGATCTATGTGTGAAGTGAACGATACGTGTGTTCTGGATGTCAATAGCGCTTGTTCACACCTGCCACAGGCAACGTAAGTGTGAAACCGTGAGAGTTTGAATCAGGGGAATACCCACTTCGGAACTGAATAAGGAGCTGCGAATGCACCAAACCATGCGCAAGGATATGTCTCTCTGTCTTCCCAGTTCTTTCTTTCTATCATTCGCCTGCCAAGTTGCATACTGTCAATTTGAAAGTATCCAGAGCTGCCTTCCACCTCCCACTGTGCATCATCCACCAAGGCAGTGGTGCTGCCTATGGGTTGATTATAATGTGCAACTCAAGCCAGGGCTGGCCTGCCTCTAGCCCCCCCCCCCCCCCGTCCCGAAGACCATTGATAAGCCTGAGCTGGGGTGACTATAGGTACAGCCTGCCTGTCAACAAGCCTGGGTTGAAGTTGCTTATAATCATCACCCCACAGCTCGACGGGCTGTCAATTTCATGTAGAGACGAACACAACCTACGACATTGAGACATCACTCATGCATTAACGTTGAGTCGGATACCTGGAGATTTGTATTCTGCTAACTTGATTCTTGTCTCGGGATCTCTCGCACTGCAGCTGTTCCCAGGGCCAGCAAATCACCACGTGTCTTCACCCCGCCAGCACGGTGATAGTGCGAGAGTACAAGCCACTCACAGTCTACAGCAGTATCAGCTACCCTGCACTGGATGTGTACAGCAGCCAAGCACCGCGCCTATGCTATGCCACTTCCCAGTTTCAGCCACAGCTTGCGGCCAGCTCTGCTGTCAAGGTATTCGTGTACAAACAAGAAATCCAATGTGTTGTTACCCCCCCCCCCCCCTCTCTCTCTCTCTCTCTCTCTTTCTCTCTCTCTCTCTCTCTCTCTCTCTCTCTCTCTCTCTCTCTCTCTCTCTCTCTCTCTCTCTCTCTCTCTCTGCATGTATGTGCCGTTGGTTGTTGCTACTTCAACTAACTTGCCATGTGCCTACAACTTTTGGCAGTCTTCTATACAATGGAAATCGTGAAAGGACTGGCCGCAGCCTGCACTCTGACCATTTAGGCCCACAGTGGTGCGATTCTGACCCCGCTTACCTAGCAAGGACGTATCAGCGCATTGGAATTTGGTGTTGGTGTGCTGTCTTGTTCATTGACTGTCATGTCAACTGATATTAATCAGCAGGCATTGCATGCCGGGGTGGTTGTGTGTGTCTGTGTTTCGTGTGTGTGCCGGAGCGAGTTTTGTTTGGGGAGCTCCCTGCAACGCGTCCTCGCCATGGTCCACGCAAGCAGTGGCGTTACATCATCGTTGATGATCTCCGCTCCATCAGCCCCCCCCCCCCCTTTGTGGCTTCTGACTGCTGGTTTACTGTTGCCCAAGATTGCTCCGCCCGGAGGCAGAGTGCTCACAGTCGTCCTCCCGCCCGCGCTCCCCTGATCCTGACTCTGGCATGTGGATAGGTCTGCCGTCGTCACGGGGATCTCAAGTGCCACGCTCCGTACTGGAGATAGCTAGCAGATAGTCCCTTCGCTATCATTGCTATCGGCAATGGGCACGTTCAAGGTTCAAGGTGTATGCGGGTATGTGTGTGTGTGTGTGTGTGTGTGTGTGTGTGTGTGTGTGTGTGTGTGTGTGTGTGCGTGCATGTGTGTATGTATGTGTATGTGTGTGTGTGTGTGTGTGTGTGTGTGTGTGTGTGTGTGTGTGTGTGTGTGCACGTGTGTGTTCATGTGTTGGGCATTCAGGTCCAGGTGAATGCTTCCGTTTCAAGAAACGTTTTCTCGTTGTCTCTACTGGAAGAGGATGCGAAAGCGCTTTCGGTGTTCTTGCAGGTAAGAAGTCATGGCATGAACCAAAAACTCGATGATTGTCTGTACTAGCTGTGTCGTTGGCAACATGTTTACAAGCATGACTGTGTGTGGCATTATAATCTTTGTTGGTGCACCATCTCTTCCCTGTTGACCTCAAGCCCCTCTCTCTCTAGCAGCATACATGCGCCTATGAGCATGATAGTACCGGTTTACTCTACTGTACCCCAGTGCTCTGACTAGGTGTGTGATTGTATGTGTGCGTGCTTGTGCGTGGTGTTTCGGGTTCGCATGCGTTTGCATGCGTGTGTGTGCCTTTGTGTGTGTGCATCCACACGCACGCCGCATGATCACGGTGCGCTTGTCCACTATAGGTGTGCTGTCCGGATCAAGGTTGCTTTGACATAGGCTCTCTTCACTCGCCGCCGGATCCCAATGTCCAGTTCATGCCCATGGACTTCAAACTATCAGCCCAGCTGGTGCTGAACACTGAGGTACTACCATGCCCAGTTCTGCCACGACCTACCGGTGGAGTGCTGAGCTGTGAGACATCGGCGGACGGCAGCTACTTTGTGGTATGCTAGGCTAAACAGCAAACAGTATGTATGAGCCTCGGCGTTTCTTGGACAACAGTACATCACTGGTTCCCCACAACCTGAGAATGCGGGGCTTGCTAGAGTGCAGCCTACGTGATACATGTGCATGTATTGATAACCTGTCTCAGCATTCCCAGAAAAGGCTCAGTGTGGATGCATGACATGCACTTAACTTACTGTTAGCCACGCTCCTGGCTACCCGAAACCATAAAAAACTCTTGTAAAGACTCTTCCTTGCGTCTTCGTGGCATGGAAAGGAGCCAGTAAAAATTAATGACCCCTTCGATGTCATACGTCTATGGTGTCTCCGGCACCTCGACTGCGAAACTTACATCTTGATACATTCGTGGCAAGGTGTTGAGTTTCGACTCTTTTTTTTTTAGTTGTCCTGATTTTCAACACAACCATGACAGTGACTGATGTCATTTGTCTAGAATATTGCACGCATCATAGTGGTCCATGGCACAAATCACTATGCAGTGTAACCAGAATGTTGACCGGTTGTTGCGGCATGGGGCCTTGCAGTGAAGATGACGTGTGACCATCAGGGGCCTTATCCCTGCACTTTATCAGCTTTCTATTTGTGAATAATCAGTGCACACTTCTGAAATGTTATGTTTTACCAACTGCTCTGCTCCTTCTTTTGGACAGTATTATGGTATGGGACATTTTAAGGGGTTCATTCTGTTGTCTCAACGATTGAGCGGTGTACTCGTCTATTGCACATGCTTGAATCCTGCAGTCTTGCCAGTACAGCTGCAATGAACTATATTTCCTACGCGGTGCTCAAGAGTTGGTTTGCCTCTCCAACGGTACGTGGAACCATGAAAGGGCAGTTTGCTGGATCCCCGACTGTGGCGAACTGGTGAGGTTTGGCGGCTCTGGAAGAGTGCACTACCCAATACACGTAGTACTGGTTACATGTACTGGCACCGGGCACTCTAGTAGGAACTCCCTCGAACGTATTCATTTGCTAAACACACGGTCCAAAACTCTGGCCAATTTCTTACGTGTGCACCTCTCGTTTCCTAGCCATTGGTGGTTTTTGCGGAGACCTTCCAGTGTGCGTCTACATGCAAGTGACCTGAAAAAACATGTGGAAATCCAGTAGTGTGCTTATGTATGCACTTCTCTTTCTCACTCTCTCTCTCTCTCTCTCTCTCTCCCAGCCTTTGATTGTGTCGAGCAATAACTTCACGGCGGGTCAGCCGGTCTGCACTGGTCTCACGTACACGCAGACATGTGTGATCACGTGTCCTCGTGGTAGTCGTCTTCACGTGGCCGGACGGCGGCAGTGCCTGGTGTCTGGCAACTGGTCCAGCAGCAGTGTAGAGTGTCGCGTGTTTGATCCATGCCTGGCAGGAACACACAACTGCCACGCAACACTGGGAGTGTGTCAGCTGTTCGCGTCGGCCACTTTCGGCTGTTCGTGCACGCCGGGGTATGCCGGCAATGGGTTCTACTGCTCAGCTGATCGCGACGACGATGGCATTCCCGATGAACACATGCCCGAGTGCAACACCACCAGCCGATTCTGCCGTGCGGACAACTGCCTATCGCTGCCGAACAGTGACCAAGATGATAGTGATGGTGATGGTCTTGGGGACCTATGTGATAGCGATAGTGATGGAGATGGCGTACTCAACGACAACGATAATTGCCAGCGTGTGGCCAACGTTGATCAGGTCGATTCGGATGGCGATGCCTTGGGCAATGCGTGCGACAACTGTGTCGACACTCCAAACTTCTACCAAACGAACAGCGACGCTGACGCGTTGGGAGACGCATGCGACGAGGATGCTGACAATGACTCGGTCATGAACGTCACGGACAATTGCATCATCGTGCCCAACTTGGATCAAGTGGATACGGATGCAGATGGTGTAGGCGATGCATGCGACAACTGCCCTCATCTGATTAATCCGGATCAGGTTGACACCAATCAGAATGGACTGGGTGACGCATGTACTACCGGAACTAAGGACACGGACGGGGACGGGAGACCAGACCCATTCGACAACTGCATCTATGCTATCAACATAGACCAGGTATGATGCATGCCTGACTAGACAACCATATGCAGCGCTGACAGTCATATGCAGAGCTGTTTCACGTCTATCACATGACTAGTAGATAGGGCAGTCATGGTGGTGTCTACTCTGTCCAGTCAATCCCTGCACCAATGGGTCACATGATGTCACCTTTTTTTTTTCATCGTCCACGTGTTCATGATGTACAGTCACTATGCAATTATGGTGAAACAAGGTTGAGCTGGTTGCTTTGGCAATCCGGGACACCGTATGGGGCAAAGAAATCAGGTTGACTACTTTTAGTCACTAAGTGACATCTGCAGTATGACTAAAAATGACGTCAAGCAGGGAGTTAACGGCTGTGTGACCACTTACAGGAGTGCAATGGCATATAGGAGATGGACGTGCTACTGGGTGTATGTACGTATCTGCTGAGCTGATGTGCATTTCTTCCTGCACAGCTCGACACTGACAATGATGGACTTGGCGATGCATGCGATCTTGATGTTGACAACGACACCATCTTGAATGACGTCGACAACTGTCCTCTTGTTGCAAATGCTGACCAAGTGAGTAAACCGGCATACACACACACATGCACAGGCTTCCAGCGTGTGCTTCTGAACAGAGTCTTTCCAGCTGCATTCAAAGTCCGTTGTGCAGAAACTACAGACACCAGCAAATGGACAAAGAAAGACCAGATCAGTTACAGGTATACTCGTATGCATCAATCTGAAGCCCACACTTCAAGTGTAAATCAATGTGTTTGATCAATGATCACGCAGCATTGCAGCATTGCAGCATTGCAGCATTGCAGCATTGCAAGATGTTATACTTTAGGCTACTAGTCTAGCTCGACCATACGTGTCATCTCTGCAGTAACCTGGTTTTCCGAAAAATGATCGGACGCTTGTCGAAAAGCAGGGTAGCCACCTGTCGACACATGAGAGACCTGCATTTCGCGACCGCTCCGTGGTGAATCTTGCCTAGGTCTCGTGAAAATGCGTTCCTTGCGACGAATCGGGTATGATTGCTTCAGGTGCACGACTAGATGAATCCAAGTATCAAACTGGTATCTGTGCTGTTTGTAAGCAGTGTACCATGTGGGTGTGTACGTAGGGGTGCCAAGGCATGACCACATACAGCGTGTGCCTTTTCTTATACATTATAATGTAGAACCGTGCCGGTTTACTTCTGAAAGCTCTCAGACCCTCTTATCATCAGAAACCCAGTGGTTTGTTTCTGGGTCGCAATATATGTGTGCACATAATGTGTGTGTGTGTGGGGGGGGGGGGGGGGGGGGGATTGTGTGCATACGTGTGTGTGGGGGGGGGGGGGGGGATCGTGTGCATACGTGTGTGTGTGTGTGTGTGTGTGTGTGTGTGTGTGTGTGTGTAATTCCATGTGTGTGTATGTGCATGTGTGTGCAATTACAGGTTGATGGAGATGGTAACCGAGTTGGTGATCAGTGTGAGCAAGACAGCGATGGCGACGGAGTGCCTGACACACAGGTGTGTAGCATTGGTCAAAGCCATCATACTTGCAATGAGCAACAGTTACTGATTTTACACTTTACACCTTTTTCGTTTTTAAATACGTTTTCGTTTTTACAACAGCAGCATTCTCAGCCATTCTGCAATGGACTGCGAGAGGGTGCCAGTACTTGACATGCATGCATGCCGGTGTGTGAACATGCGGCATAGTCCCTCTGTAAGTAGGTGTCGAATTTCATCGGCAACTACTGCATTCAGGTGCATTGTCAGACTAGATAACACAGTGCAGATAGGAAACTGAGTAGACTGTGCACTGGCACTGCTCCAAGTTATTCACAATGACTACAATATACTGTCTTCTTCTCTGAGTTGCTGTTTGCATTCGTTTTTCGATTTCGATCTATGGCAGGACGCATGCCCGTTCAACCGAGACGTGCAGGCTACTGATTTCCGGCGTTTCCTGCGCATAGCCCTGGATCCCATTGGGCAGACCCAGGCTGACCCGGTGTGGGTCATCCTGGACCAGGGCGCTCAGATATTGCAGCTTAGCAACAGGTTAGTTAACAAACGTCACTAATTCTTAACTGGGCATTTCGAATAGTTGGAATTTTTGGTGTGTAAGGCCACAACAAGTTAATTCTATGTTTCGCGTTGGAAATTTCTGGAAAAGGTACGCGGGTGGAAGGCAAAAAAAACAGATGAAAAACAAAACTCCATTCCGTGGGTGGAGGGATACTATAATAGACACTACTAGGCAGACAGTAGATCAAGCACCAAGAAATGCTGATAGGAGCGTGTCCAATATTCCAGCCTAAACAGTATAATTATATTTATCGTGGTAATCATGTAATCAGTTCTTCCCTTAAATTTGAACTGTGCACATGTACATCTATGAAAGAGATGCACTCGTGAGCGTGCAAGGAGCAGCCACTCATGCCTTTGCCTCAGCATGCTTGCGCTTTCGAGCAGCAACAGCTCCGGCTTTCTGGGCTCCACGTGTGCATGACTTGCCACCTTTGCCATCACACTCAATGCATAGTGTGTGGACAACCTGGCAGCGCTCCTGATCGGCCTGTGGTACCGGCATTGGTTGCTCGGTACCACACGCATAGCATGTCGGAGCAAACGTTTTGCATGTGAAGTATGCACATCACTTGCACATGTGATGCCTGGCTGCACGACAATGACACTGTGGAGGTCATGGCCGCCGTCGGGTAGCAGTGGTGCTCCAGAAACAAAGTCAATATCCCGCAAGCCCATTTCGAGAGCTGCTAGCTGGTCAGGCTTCAGCTTGCGGCTGCTGAATACACAACGGGCCTTGGTCGCCTCCCTGCAGTTGGCAAGTGGAGCCACTGCTGGACCACACTCCGTCGTCGTCGTCTAGCCCCAGACATCGGAGAACGGAGGCAGATAGCTGTCCGACCCAGGCTTCCTGACCGCAGGATCTCGGAAGAAGGCCAGCAAGGAGAACACATCTTCGGGCAGAGCAGTTGGTCCGCAGATATCGCAGTCCGCAGCACCACACTTCTTGATGGTGAAGAAGTAGTGGCGGGATTGGCAGCAGTGGTCATAGAACTCCTTTCAGCTGCTACTTATTCTTAATGGATGCCTGCGTTTCAGACCGTTGCACACTGGCATCAACAGAAGACATGTTGGTCCACATCTCATCAATCTCATCATGCAAAGCAGCTGGGAGCACAGTCACCGGCTCACCCTTCAGACTGAGGTGTGACAGTGTGGAGGACATCAGGTCCATGGGTGTCTGCACTGACTGGAGGAGAGCCTTCTTCAGCGCAGGGTGCTTTCCTGCAATCGGTCGAAGCTCCGCAATCAAGTTTGCGTTCTTCACCAGCTCTTCTCCATGTCCTCAGCCATCTCCGAGTGCATGATTCCACTGGACTGAAGGCCAAGGTTCAGGATGGACATCACCCGCTCCACTATGTTGCGCAATGATTGCATTGGAGCAGTTCTCATAGCCACCAGATAATCCGAATACAACGACTAAGTCTTGAAGATACACATCAGGGTGGTTTGGACGGATACATATGTTATCCGATGGTCTGGGCCGCCATCTGTATAGAGCAGGAGGATTGGCTTCACGATCGTGTTGACACCGGCTTTGCCCAGGACACTCTTCAACTCGGCCATGTAGCGCAGTGGTAGGGACGGCTGGAACATAGTATTCTTCAGGACAACATACGCCTTGCCGCTTTAGAAAGAGTCTCCAATGGTCTCTGGGATGTCACATACCATGATGACACAGATGGTGTTACCTTGGCCTTTGTGAAGTTGTGATCAGCAACTTGGAAGGACTCCTCCACACCAACTACAACTGATCAGCCACGGTCCACAGCAGCGACTGGGAAGCCAGGCTCTCCAACCTTGACCAGATGTTTGTCATCCATTGACACGAGTGTTGCACATTGCCTGTGCACTCTGCAGTATAGCAAACTCTCGGAGATCAGGAAGCAGCAGCATACTGAGAATCAGGATGCTCACGGTGAAGCTGCCTGGACTGGATTGAGTTACGAACATCTAGTCGAGCAGGATCGAACCCAGCACCCCTGTCTTTCCGGGACAGTGCCCTACCGATTAGGCTACCTATGTCGATGGGCCATGGGTTCAAGCCAAGGTCGCAAAAGAGTCAAGAACAAGAGGGATCCACGAGAGGAATTCGAACCCAGCCAGCACCCCTGTGTGTCTTGGACAGTGGTGCTCTACCGATTAGGCTACCTGGGACCACATACACGCGGCTACTTCTTGCTAAACTAGTACATTGCACTTCACTTGCATGCACGCTAAAAAAATCACTTGGTACTTTTTCTTCTTCTTGACCATTTAAAAAGGTACGCGCTTCGTGGCGCGAAACATCGAAACTGATAACTTGGTGTGGCCTAATGGCTACCAAGGGTAGCAGCTAGTCGGCTGAAGAGCTGAGACTGAGAGGAGTAGAGGAATATTGAGCAGCTTGCATGCAGTGATCTTGTACACTGTACATGTATATTGCCTACGACACTGCTGTGCAACTTACTGATCGTATCGTATCCGAAGAGGCCACCATGAATTACACACACCAACTTACCATACCTCTCATGTTATGTGTGGTGCAGTGATCCAGGTATTGCTGTGGGAGAGACATCCCTCGACTACATGTCCTTCTCCGGCACGTTCTACATCGGTCAAGCCGCGAACGTTGACGATGACTATGCCGGCTTTGTGTTCGGCTACCAGAGTAACACGTAAGTTACTGTTAGCCGTGACACACATGTACATCGTAGATCTGTGTGAGACACACGTGTACATCGTAGATCTGTGTGTGACACACGTGTACATTGTAGATCTGTGTGTGACACACGTGTACATTGTAGATCTGTGTGTGACACACGTGTACATCGTAGATCTGTGTGTGACACACGTGTACATCGTAGATCTGTGTGTGACACACGTGTACATCGTAGATCTGTGTGTGACAGTAGAGATGGTATGGGGTTCTGATGTACGATAATTTAAAATATATAAATAATATGAGCAAGCAAGACTTTTCCAGGACGATCTTGCCCAAGCTCGCTTCTGCTTCTACGGATCTTATCTCCACAGGCAGTTCTACGTGTGTATTTGGAAACGCCAGCGTCAGTACTCGTTTGTGGACACGCCTCACCCCCGGCCGGTGGCGAGAGTCGGAATACAACTGCGGGTAAGGCTGTATTCATCACTGTGAATGTATATTGGATAGTAGTGTGTGATAGTGGCAAGCAACAACTGTACCTGGCTCTCAAATTTGATGTATTTGTTGGTGTTCTTTTGAGGATGTAGAATGACAAGCATGTGCTGTGCTTCTTTATTTTCTTTTTTGATAGACAATTGGCCGTTGAATGTAGGCCATAATCCTAGCGCACACTGTGATATCGCTGTCTATTGTCTGCGGTGTGGCTTGTGTTGCAATGCAGGCCCTGAACTCATCGACCGGTCCAAGCACTGACCTGGCACAGTCGCTATGGTACTCGGGCAGCATGGCCAATCAGAGTCACCTCATCTACCACGAGAACAGCGTGTCCTGGCAGTTTGAAACGCCGTACCGCTGGACGCTCATCCACAACCCGCAGAACGGCTACATTCGAATGCAGTGGTATCAGGTACAGAAATACTACCTTTTAAAGGACCAAAAAGTGACAGTTATCTGACTCGTACCTGATGTGATATCTGCTCCTTTTATGACCGTCCGGGAAAGTTGCTCAGCCCAGTTAGACTGATACTGTAGCAAAAACATGTGCAACAGTTATTGCTAAGCAGTAGCTGGTAACGGAGAGGATGTGTAACCGGTCTAGTCTTCCTGCCGGGAATAATAAACTCTCTTACCGTCGCCAAGCTGTGAGGCCGTGTCCATGTGGATGGCTGTGCATGTCTTCCTTCACCTGCAGGGCTCGACTAAGATTGCAGATTCCCTGGGAATCCACGACACCACGATGCGGGGAGGACGCCTAGGCGTGGCCGTCTACTCTCAGGCCAATATCACCTATTCCAAGCTGCGGTACACATGCCTGCGGGTAAGCGCTATTCAAAGCTATGTTACACTTGTCTTCAAGTAACCACTGGAAGCTTTCTGCAACAGACTGAAGATAAGAGCAAATCGACGGGAGAAGATTGAAGAAATAAGATACATGTGCTTGTACTGAGAAGCAGTGCATCGATGTCGTGAACCCGTCGAAGCATAATGAAATCTCAATGGAGTTGCAGTAGCTGCTAAAGCAATACTGGTCATCCCCATGCCAAGAGTGCTGTGTTGCTGTGGATGTTTGTATGGATGTGAGTGTTGACAGAACACAGACTACGCCCTATCGTTCTCCGGCAATACTGCGGGCATTGCATTGACTGGGTCTAAGCAACTCTCCATACTGGACTCCAGCTTCACGGTGAACTTCTGGGCATACATGAGAGGCTGCAGGTAAGGCCTTGTGGGAACACAATGAACAGTCACAGGCCTGAGCTGCTGGAGCGAGCTGGAAATCTTGCCTGAATACCACCTACACACCTGTACATGCATATTGTGCCCACGTGATCACTATGGTCAAGTTGCCCAAAGACCACGTATTGCAAGAACCTCGAAGTCACAGCAAATGTGTGAGCCTGCATTGTACTCTGTGTGTAGGTACATTAATTCAGTGTACCATTGTGTAACACTAGCACGTGTAGTTATTCCTTGAAGAACACTGATTATCACTGACATCATGTGTACTCCACAGTACTTGTACATGAGAAGTATGTGTAGATTATTTTCTGCATTGCTTGTAAGGAGTATTGCACTATTTTACAGATTATTTGAGAAAGAAAACAAAAACAGAAACGAAGCGCAGCGTACGAAGCTAGCTGGTTGCACTACCCAGTATGTGTACATGCCATTGATTCTCCCATCGTCCAGCAACCCGCAGTGCAATTTCAACAGGCAGCTCGACTTTGGTGTGTCGGGCGACGCGTCGGTGGATTTCGGCATCTTTCATCAGGTGTCCAGCGCACTGGACGACTATGACCTGCTGGTCCACAGCGGAACTACACCAACAAGCTCCACCGGCCCCTCGGATGACCATACGCCCGGTGACGTCAACGGCAATTACCTGTATCTGGAGGCATCCACCGCGCTGGCGGTCAATCGCTACGGTGCCAGGGTGAGTAAGCGCTGTCACACTACACTCATAGATGACTGGCAGCAATCTCACATACAAGCTGTATCATAGTGCAGTAGAGACTCATTGTATGACACATACAAGCTGTATCATAGTGCGGTAGAGACGCATTGTATGAACTACTTGCAAGATGCTTGGCAGGAAATTAGTGTGAGACCAAACATTGGGAGTAGCCACCTTCTGCAAGAGGCCAATTGCCACCCAAATAGTTGTAGCCTCGTCATGGCTCATCGGGGATGACTCCTCTGAACAGCAAAGCTGGCATGGAGACAGAACGATGCAATATTCCTGTAAACTCAAATAACAGCAGCTGCAAGTGGATCATACTACAACTTCTGTTTAGTGTATTTTACTATCCAATGTCCTTTTCCTTGACTCACTGATGTAGAATAAGCCCATTGCGCATTGCCAAATATGGATTGTATGAGTAATACATGTGAGTACGCTAGGATCAGGGGTGCACTGTTCAACACCCAGACGACCATACCCAGGTGGCTGTGTGGGGTATTCGCAGTACAAATTATTATGTCATTGCGTAATGGGCTTATACACTCGTCTCACATGTTCATGCTTTGTGTGCAGGCCATCCTGGAGAGTGATTGCTTTCTGACGGCAACGCTATGCTCGCTTAGCTTCTACTACCATATGTATGCGCTGTCGGCCACGTACCAAGGTCAGCCACTGGATGGTATGGGCTGGCTAGAAGTGGAGGTGCTGGACCTGGAGAACCAGGATACAGCTGGTTGGCAGCTGGTATGGTCAATGTGGGGAGACCAGGGCAACTCCTGGCACAAAGCCACAGTGGACTTGTCGGTGAGTAGCATAACGCAGGGATTTCAATGTCATCGATGCTGCATTGTCCGTCTTTGAAGAACACGGCTTTGAACTTCTTTGAATCAACTACAAATGATCGTATCATTCAAGAAGATTCTTTCTGGCCTCGGCTTCACATCTAGTGAACTACAGCAATCTTACCTGTCGCTTGCCTGTGAACATTTTCTTTTTCTCCCTGTCTGTCTGTCTGTATGTCTGTCTGTCTGTATGTATGTTTGTCTGTCTGTCTTTGTCTCTGTTTGTCTGCCTGCAGTCGTATAAGGGAGCAATTCAGCTACGCCTAGTGGTGTGGAGAGGTGCACTCATTCGCAGTGATATAGCTCTGGACGATATAGAGTTCTCGGCTGCGTGTGGCATCACAGATCACTGTACTGCACATACCAGCAAGCCTATCATTGGCAGCAGTAACACGACAGGTGAGTGATGACAAGCATCACACGCACTGCATTGGCACTGGACGGCAATGTACTAATAGTATGCCGCATGATGTGTTGGTGCAGACCCCTTCTTCTAGATACCTGCGTGCATCCACCTATTCGTGTGGCTAGACCACATCATTCTAGATGATTTCTCAACCATAATTCCATCACACTTTGCCAGTACTGCTAGGCCTCCACACTGGGTGTTGACAGACCCACATGATGAGGAAATGAGCACCACCCTCGACATGTCGACCTCTGTCGAACAGGAGGTCTCCGACACATCCTGCCCCTTGCAATCAGAACTGGCCATGGTCTACTAGTAACTCTACCTTTACACGATGCTGTTCTTATGCCTGTCCCGACCATGCAACATGCATTGCAGGCTTGTCAATCCAGCTGAACAATGCTCAGGTTGTTGCCAGTTTCCAGGATGCCTCAATCAGCAGCATGGGTCGTATAGAATTCAATCGCTGGACACACATTGCCTATCAGTACGACATGGCTACTCGAACTCAGGTATGTACATGTACATGCATCTTCACAGGTACTGCACCAGGGCTGCACCCAGGGCTGCACCCGGGCTGCACCCGGGCTGCACCCGGGCTGCACCAGGGCTGCACCAGGGCTGCACCAGGGCTGCACCAGGGCTGCACCCAGGGCTGCACCAGGGCTGCACCAGGGCTGCACCCAGGGCTGCACCAGGGCTGCACCAGGGCTGCACCCAGGGCTGCACCAGGCCTGCACCAGGGCTGCACCCAGCCAAGATAGAGCCATGAAAAACGTTACTGTCTTGTCCTTCGGAGTAATCTACAGTGAAACCTGTGTAAGACGACCGTTCAGGGGACCTTGAAAACATGGTCTCTGTTACCAGGTGGTCTTCTTATCCAGGGTCATTTGACTGGAAATAGCATCCCTTGGCCTTGGTCCTGGTTTCAGTGGTCTTCTAGGACAGGTGGTCGCCTTATCCGAGTGGTCGCCTTGACAGGTTTTACTGTATTTGCGTTTGTACGAGTTGTATTCGTATTTCTAAGCAGTCCACTGTGAGAAATCATGGATTACAAGTACCATTTCAGTGTGTACTGGTAGGGATTGGGGACAGGTTTTTGGTGCTGGAATTCGGGCAAAGCATACCATGTTGAATGGGCGGGGAGGGGGGGGGGGGGTGAAGCAGGCAAGGGCGCTAACAGATAAGACTACTTTCTTACGACTAGTATCAGACCGAGGCCGCAATGGCAACGTTGTTAAAAAATAAAATAAAAAGCCCGCTGTACTGCCTAGTCTGGATGCTGCGCATTGTCTCTGTTTTGCTGACTGCAATCTGCATTGCCTGACTGCTTGACTACACGCCGTGCAGAGCTTGTGGGTGAACGGTGTGGTGAACGGCTCAGCGGCAGGCAGCGGGCCGTACACTCATGACTTTCCTTTCATCCTCGGCGGATCAGATCTCAACAACCAAACTCTAAGCAACTGCATACTGGATGAGGTTCGTAACAGGCATTAGTGTGCTCTTTGTTTGTAGCTGTAATGCTTTATACCAGGAACCAAACTACACTGTATTGATCAGGAGGCTTGCCTAACGGGAAAATTTCATTCATCACGATTGGGCACTACATCAAACTATAAATAGACTTACTGGAGCATACTCGTGATCTTGCATATGGGTGGGCTGTGACAAACCAGACAGCGGTGGTCACTATTGCCACCTTCGTTAGCTTCTCTGATTCCTTTTGTGCACAGTTGCAAGTGTGGAGGTCCACGATCGCCGTGAATGAAAAATACAATGTTGAAATCATTGCCGATCAGGAACCGTATCTGACAGCATACTGGAGGTGAGGGTTACAGACTTGGGTGGTAGCAAAATCCAGTTCATAACTCTGTGCTGAGCCAAGTCCAGTGCACAATGCCATTACAACATTTGTATTGAAGTCTGATGGCCTGCATTGTCAATTTAAAAACGTGACTAAACCAGCCACATCTAATCTGTTATCACTGTTCTTCTGCAATATCAGATTCGACTCGGCGTACACCTCACGGCAGTTTGTGGATGCAACTAAGCAGGTCTCGAATATTCAGCTTCCGCAGAATCTCTCAGTGGTGACATCCTCACTGCGCCACGAAGGTGGGCCACCAAGGACTTGAGAAAGAGTGGCTCAACATTCTTTATCACAGGTCAACGTGGTAGCTACTAATCAAGAAATATGCTACTGCACTGTGACAAAAAAAGTGGTTAAAAAATTCAAAAACACTCTTTGCTTTACGGCCCATATAATGCTATTATTTGCCAAACCCCATATTTAAATATTTTTGCTATTCCGCTATGGCATACTGCTGGAAATAAAAATTTTAAATAAATAAATTTCCTAGTTCGCTTGAGACCTAGTCAGACTGAGCTGTCCGCATCCGTAGGAACGCCACCACGATAAAGGATCAAGGCGCAGATGCAGCTCCTAAAGCAGTGGGAGGTGAGTAGACCAGACCCACCACCAGAATGGTCAAAGACCTAAAATCCCATTCGCTGCATCCATGTTTCCCTCATGCCAGACCACAGCCCACAGGTTCCCAATTGACTGTGGGTCGCAGTACGGTCGGAAAGATCCTTCCGCTTCCAAGCAGGACTTGAACATGGTACCTTCTGTTTCTCGTCATAATCTTAGACAAAATCTTAGACAATCTGACTATGCCTATCTGCCTCTTGGAAAGAACACGGAAGAAAAATAGTGTTCCCTTTCTTGCTGGAACACTATTCTGGGGTTTCGCTGACATGAAGAGAAAAAAAAGATTTTCAAGTCGACTCGACCCGCTCACTCTTGCTTCGATGGGAATGAGAACAAAGTTGACATGCACCTATCAGCCCGGGCTAAGCCTACTTACCATATTTTCTGCATAAACTAAAACTTGGCGTGTTAAATTATTAACGATGACAGTACAGAAGCGTGCCGAGTTTCAGTTCACCTTGAGAGCAAAATATAGAGCAATTCCACTTCCACCACATGTGCTCTCTGGCCTCCACCACATGTGCTCTCTGGCCGACCTCATCACACCAGCAACATGACACCCAGTTGTAGATAGTGACAAATAAAATGTCCTCCATACAGCACTGTTTTGGCCACAAATATAGCAAATATATAGAGGTATGAAAGGTTTTTTTGAATGCTTTGGATGCATGCGATTCGTATTTTTCCGGGCGATAGATATCAGGGATATTCAATGTGTACCATACCGAGGACCTGAGTCTTGGAAGGCATGGCGCGGCCTATATGGGACACAACACTTTGTTGTTTGTACATCATGTCGAACCAAACGTGGCACCAAATTAAGCACAAAAAGGTGGGAAATTCTGAAAGCAGCCCAACTCACGCCACACTGGCTTTCACTGGTTTCCACAAATGAAATGCATGTTTCAGGCACGGAAAAATGGCTTGCACAAATCATTGGAGCTGGACATGTGTTCCAAAGCAATCCATTAGCGAGATGTTTTTTAGAAGTGCAGCTAACCCACACAGCAAAACAATGGGTGGGGGGGGGGGGGGTGATTTGTTCTCGCATATTAAAGCCCTGTGAAAGCCTGTGGAAATTCTTCACAGCCCAGTGCTGTCCCTGTGTGCTTCACACGCACATGTATCCGATCCATGTCCGCACATCCGCACACATACACACCATGTACCATGTACCATGTATACGCCCACTGTAGTAGAGTTGTCATGATTACTAAGCACTACAGACGCGGCGAGCTCACAAGCATTATACATGTACTCATATGGGGGCTTACGGGACTTCCATTCTGGGAACACGAGACAAGATCATTGGTGTGGAATCCAGATGGTACCGGCTGGAAGATAGTACCTGCCCGGGAACAAAACTGATCATTCAGTCCGAATCCCAATCAAAGTCTTCTGCATCATTCTCGAAGTCTTTCCCGTGCACTTCTCCTTTCTGGATTTAGAAACAAAGTTGCAGACATACCAGTAAGGTACAGCATGGTGTTACTTGCATAATACAATCATATTGATAACGAGCACAGTATTCCAGACAATTGTGATGGCATGTTGCGGTTGGCACTGGGTGAAATCATATTGATAACTAGCACAGTCTTGCAGTGTGATAGTATGCTTCGGTTGGTACCTGGTGAGCGTCCTATCAAGTCCAATGTTTGTTTTGTTCCGTAATCATACCGGTATATATAAAGCATCAAGGCGTGCAACTCCCGAGTCCGAGTCTGCTATTACAATACGGTTATACTGCATGAACATGATGTGCACCCCGATGGCAAAGCCCTCAAATAATGATTGGGACTTCGACGTTACCAACCCCATCTCAGTCCCACTTTCTTGGTCCGTGCGGCATACCGTATTTTCCGGAATAAGCCGCACTTTATGCCTGGTCCATGATCCACACTAGGCCAATGTTTCGGCCGATTGTGGCATCGTACGAAAAATTCTCAAGATCAGCGCGAAAATCGCCTGGTGCGTACGGTGTTGTCGCACACGTTCCCAACAAGTGTGTGTGTGTGCGTGCGTGCATGTGTGTGTGTGGGGGGGGGGGGGGGGGGGTGTAGGTCCGACCCAGTCGGCCGATGTCATGTTGGTGTCGGAGCATCAGCCGAAAAATTGGCCTAGCGTTGACCAGATATAAGACACCAGTAATTCACCCAAAAAAGTCAGTGCGGCTTATACTACGATGGTCAAATTGACGGTGGTAAATGGGGTAGATGGGGTTGATGGCTATATCTCGTGCCAAAAAACTGGGTGCGGCGCTTATACTCCAGACGAGTGCGGCTTATATACTCCGGAAAATACGGTATATCTACTCTTTGTTTGAGGCTTTGAAAGCATTATATTAACTACATGTATAAGAGAAAGCCGTCAACAAAACAGGGAAAGCAAATGACATCATTGATCAATCTATGCAGGCTCAGAGCGACTGTGTGTGATTGGCAGCTGATGTGATTTTAAATTATTATGCAGCTTACCTTCCGAGAATAACCTGCGCTGGACCAGCCGGAGACGAGCAATTCTACGCCTCTCTCGCCGTATTTGTACTACTCTCATTATGAGCAAAGCTGCGATCAGGTTGCACACCCTTTCATAATCGTCCGGATGCATGATGGCCCAAACAGAAGAAATAGAAAGCACATGACAGTTGTGCGTCTACCCGACCCGACCTGTTTGGCCCTGTTGATTTACTGTCATCCGTACCGCGTACAGGATGTCGGCCGACTGTCTATGATCCAGCAGCAACTAATCATACACGACTATGCATGGTAGACCAGGACATGCAGACGCGAGACGATGAAGACATTATTTTGAAAGAGCAGTTGGCTGTTGACTGTTGTGCTAGCTGGACGAAATACTCGACCGAGTACATTGTAATTGCATGCATTCTGTATTACCAGTAGTGACGCGCGACTCCTGAGTTTTGGATTAGTTCGTATTTGAATGGTTTTCATTGCTGGATCTAAATAACTTTAGACATGGCGGTAAGGAATTGTTTTATTGAAAGCCTTTGTTATAATACTAGGTCAGTGTTCATCGATGTAACTACAACTACCGTATTACAAATACAAAGTTAGTCTGAGTGCAGGATAGGTCACAGTAGCATTTGTACTAGAACACCCCGTTGCTGTATTTTCTGGTAAGAAACCGCACACCTAATTCTATTTTTTTCCAACAACATAATTCACCATTACCCACCGAGCCGTCTCCAGGGCCTGGGGGGGGGGGGGGGGGGCTTGGATGGGAGTATGTTTGGATACGGGAGCAGGCGAATACCCATCAAAAACATGCACATTCCCTTACAACACATCATTCCTGATTATTATGGACATTACCACAGGATACATGTACTCCAGCTCCTCGTAATTACCCACGGCCACGGGGATACATATGTTGACAACAACTTGCTGCCACACATCCTGTCCACCATTTTCAGTTGTGCTGCGGCTGGTAAAAAATAGCAAAAAATCATTTTTCTCCCTTCAATTCAGTTCAAACAGGCATTTAGGACTATCGATAGTTCAGATAGTTGACGTTTGGATAGTCGGCATTCTACTGTAGAGTGATAATCACTACTGTCCAGTGATGCTAAAGGAGTCTACCAATCCAGTGATGCTAAAGGAGTCTAACAATCCAGTTGTTTCTCCATACACGTCTCTCTTTTCCGAGCGGTCCGGTACCGGGTACTGCCCATAACTTTGAAAAGCCCGTAGCTCTGAATCACGTAATGTACTCCTCTCGGATAATACCCCCCCCCCCGTGCAACGACTGTTTGAAATAACACAAAGCCCCTCTCGAAACGAAGCGAGGGCTACCATTCGCAAGTCATGGAGCTCGAGCGACCAGGCAATGCCATGTTCGGTAAGGTCAAGTGATACCCAATGTCCACTGTATGCCTGCGTAAGTACATGTACTGCGGTAGTCCAACCCTGCATGGAGTTAACCGCCGGCTACTGTAGAGTCTTGCACATAAAAGCATGACTGATAAAGAAGCATCCAAGTTGATAAAGAAGTCTTATTCGTTCATCTACTTTCTTCTGGAAACACACCCTGTCATGAAAGGATACCATTCTCCTGTCTATGGCTGGATGGGTCTGTACAGTTCACCTGTTACTATGTACGCATCATGAGTTTGCATTGTGATATTTGGTACACTTGTCACCGATTTTCCGTTTGCGCACAGCCCAAGCAAAAGGCCAAGGGCCAGAAGGAGATCTACAAGGGCAACCAGGAGACTCTCAAGTTCTACGCAGCCTTCACCGTAGTGCCAAATGCAAGTACAAGACTACATGTGCCATGTGCCATGCATACTGCTTAGGGAACTTTTTCTCTTTCTTAGCGCATGATGATTGTATAGCTAGTGTAGTAGTTTGCAGTACATGCACGCTACTGGCCGGCCGTATTTTGCGAACGCATCAAGTGTATCTAAAGAGAAGTGGCAAGTAGAAATGCTAGTTTGCCATACCTTCATAGCTGCTCATTATGCTAAGCACTTCAGCTGCTGCAGTTGCATTCCACTGGACACTAGCCATTTGCGTGTAGATGCGAACAAAAGTAGGTAACCAAAGGCGACATGTGCATGACTGTATGGCTACAGTGGCTGTATGTCTCTATGGTATACAGCGGCGGATCCAGCGATCTCTACAGGGGGGGGGGGGGGTTCCAGTATAGCCAAAACTGAATAGCTGATACATGTCCATGGACAAGCATTATGGTTGCCAGTAGTACATTTACGAATTTTAGGGGGTTCTGCGGCACCCCTGGAACCCCTCCTGGATCCGCCCCTGATATACTAGTTGTGCAGAGGAAGCTTTGACAGACCCGTGGACTGGGTTACCCTTTTACGTCATTACAGATACTCTTGAAGAGTTGTAGTCTAGTGTTCCCATAAAGATGTCTCCTGAAAGCAACACTGTTAGGGAGTGTTCTGTACTAGCAAGGATGCACATGTGAATCTGCTGTACCGCCACCGGCCGCTTGTATCGTATCATCTGCACTTACTGCGGCTCTGAAAGGGCTAACAGCTGTGTAGTTCAATTCTTTGATTTCTGTGTGTGTGTGTGCACGCGCATGCGTGCGTGTGCGCGTGTTGCTCTTTATCGGTGCAGGTTATCTATTTTCTAGTTTACTTTCTATTTTACAGTTCAAGCTTCTCGTGGCTGAGATGGGTGAGTAAATGCAGCTCCTAGTTCTAGCATAAAGTGCCAATGGCACTGAATGGCACTATGGTGAAATCTCACACATCACATCACGGAGGAGACTCATGGCGCCTTGTTGGTGGGATGATAAGCTAGTGTTCTGTCTACGTTGCTGTTGTTTGAGATTACAAAGTCAAAACCAGGGGAAAAGGCCAGAAACCTGGCCGAAATCCTTAACTCCTTAACGGCTGGTCCAATTGTTCCGAAACCTTCACAGGACAATTTGCCATGCCCTGACTAGCCCTTCTATGTACTTTGTTTTCCGATTTTCCCTTATCTTCATACTTTTTAAGACCCAAACCTGATTGTCAATGTTTTTTAAATGGACTGTAGTAATTTGTAGGCAACGCATTGCTCTTACTCTTAGTTGCTGGCTTGAGTAGTTTGTAAGTTTGTAGTTGTTCTGGAATCTTGTAGGCAACGCATTGCTCTTACTCTTAGTTGCTGGCTTGAGTAGTTTGTAAGTTTGTAGTTGTTCTGGAATCTTGTAGGCAACACATTGCTCTTACTCTTAGTTGCTGGCTTGAGTAGTTTGTAAGTTTGTAGTTGTTCTGGAATCTTGTAGGCAACGCATTGCTCTTACTCTTAGTTGCTGGCTTGAGTAGTTTGTAAGTTTGTAGTTGTTCTGTTGTTCTGGAATCTTGTCATGTTTGGCTACTCTTGTTGTAGATTGGCTGGCTGCTGTCAGCTGCTTCTGCCACAGCAGGTTTTCTCATGATGTACACAAGCGCTAAGGCATCTTTCTCCGCAAATGGGCAGCTGGTGGATGCTGGTCTAGACCTGGGCATGACTGAAGGAATGACAGAGTAAGTCTACTACTCGTTTTCACTCTGTGTGTGTGTGTGTGTGTGTGTGTGTGTGTGTGTGTGTGTGTGTGTGTGTGTGTGTGTGTGTGTGTGTGTGTGTGTGTGTGTGTGTGTGTGTGTCCTTGCACACCGTGTGTTTGTGCTGGGTGTGTGTGTGGGGGGGATTGGCTGCACATGAAACAGAGAAAGAGAGCGCCTGGTGTGCATGGTGCAGCAAGTGTTGAGGTTTATATTCTAGTTGGTACAGGTGGCAGTGCTAATGGTGCGAAAAGGAACAAAAGAGGTATAGTGAGAACGAACAATGAAAACATCATGCCGATCGTATGCTGTCTCTGCTGTTATGCAGATACATCAAGGATGTGGTCATCTTCTCTGGTGCTGTCATCGTTCTTGGTAGCGTGTCAGGTTACTTCCTTCTGCTCTGGTTTGTGGTAAGTATTTATGATATGGTTAGCACCAAGGAAGTTTGCTGCTCAGCATTGGAGCTTGTGACTTTCCTGCCACTGGAATCTTAACTTGACTTACTCACCGCCAAGCCGACAGGCCACAAGAAAACCATCTGGGAGTCGGATGCCCATGACTGTTTCTCTTACATGTAGTGCTTTTTGTTAGTGGTAGGTACCCATCCTGTGGGGTGTACTGAGCACTCAAAGGGGGGGGGGGGGGGGGGGGGGGGGTAGGTACCCATCCTGTGGGGTGTACGGACCACTCAAAGAGGGGGGCACAAATCCTCTGGGCCTTTACACCATGTTCTCTCCCGGGTTCATAAGACTCCCTAATTTTGGTTCCCCTTGCCATTGACGTTTGGGATTACGGACACACTGTGTACGCATGTAGTTCAAAAGTATGCGTGTCCGTGCACGCTGTTTTTTTCTCCTGTCACAGATCCCAGCGTTTATGTTCTACCACTTGTGGATTCAGTTCCTCTGGCCATGGATTCACGGTCCGGAAGGCGGCGAAGAGCCGATGGCCGACCAGGGCAGGCGACGATCACGAGTGCAAAAAGTTGTTCATCGATAAGATGTCCTTGATTACAATTCAATAATTATATTGATTTTGTGTTATTCATGAAAAATGTGCTGTGGGTTTTTTTTAAAGAAGATTCAGGTTGCTTATTATTTTCACAAGCTGCAGTGCAGTTCTAGAAGATGTCATGTGTGTGTAGATGGCAAAAATAACAATGGTTTCACTGTTAATATGTAGCAGGAAGCAAGAGAATACGAATGTGCAGTCATCAGCATTGGGGTTATATGAAGTCTGACCTCGGTGTCGCCAGGCGCGGATATGTGACATGGTAAAATAAATACTAGAAATACTGAGTGTGAGGTATACACAACTGTTGATAGTACTCAGTGCTAATAGATCAGAGAGTAAGGAAACTAAATAGAGAGAGAGGAAAAAAGGGGGTGTGCCGTCACCATATGGTTACGACTGCTGGTGTTGTTTGATGTGTGCCATGCGGCGCACCACTGCTTGCCGGTGAGCGTCCAGCCCCTCCACGGCGGCCAGGGTGGCGACGGCCGGTCCGATGTTGAGCAGTCCCTCGGCGTCCAGCTCCTGCGACGTGATGTACTTCTGGAAGGTGGACGTGCTCACGCCGCTGTACATCTTGGCATAGCTGTACGTCGGTAGCGTGTGGTTCGTGCCGGATGCGTAATCTCCACAGCTGTTGTCACAGTGAACACAGACAACACACAGCATGAGAGCACAGCAGCAGCAGTTGGTTGACATGGGCACTCAGTGAATACAGATAACACCAAGAGTAGATGAAAACCAGAGCGTGCAGCTTGGGGCTTTTTCTACTTTGGGTGTCTGTCACGGCGGAATTCCGTGACTACATCATATTTGGCGCAGATCTGAGGCGGGAAATGGCGTAGTGCGTACAACTGAGCTGCAGTTGTTCAGAAAGAGACCTGCTTGAATCCTGCTGGTACGCACTACATCACTACAATGATGTATTCACGGTACTCCACCGTGACAGCAACCCATCCCAGCTGCGCACTCTGGTTTTCATGTACTCTTGATAAACACTAAACACTAGTAAACAGTACTTCTTTCCAACTAGACATATTAAATGTGAGTTGAGTGATTTTGCAATTTTCATTGATAATAATATCAAAAACAAGAGAGAGGGATGCTGACATCTACAAATCAGCGCACATTGCACATGTATCACAGATGTCAGATTGATGCCTTTACCTTTCTGCCGAGTATGGGCCAATAAACACAGAGCCAGCATTCATAACCTTGTCAAGGTACTTTGCTGCAAAATCAGTCGAGAACAAGACAGAAGTGGGAAACAAGAAACATGACATAGAAATTCAAAAGAACTTTTCTTAAACCAAGTGTTTACTGCAAATCTGCTTTACAAATAGTAGTGTTGAAGCGAGCGTATCTATAACAAACGAGTGAGTTAACGAGTTTCACTGATGTGGCAAAGGTGATTTTTTAAATTCAGCTGTTTTGAATTTCACCGCCAGCACTGGGGTTGCTGCTGCTTTTGACTGGCTTCACTTCGGACAGGTATTTGGTGTCGAGATGTCTTTTCTGCACCTTCGTTCAGCCGCCATTGTAAGAAAAGACCGTTTTCAAAGATTGAAAGTAGCCCTGTTCTTCGCTGCATTGCGGGAAAAAACTTCCAAAACGACTAAGCATGGCTTTCGCTCGAACAGTGATTCACTAGATGCACTGACTGTTCTGTAATGTGCATGCTGTAACGTATACGATGCTCGTTAGTGCAAAAAAGCTCGCCGCAAAAACGAGCCGAGTTTCTGGCGAGCAAGCTAACGAGTACCCAATGAGATCCTTTCAACACTAACAAATAGACACATTGTTTTTATTTATTTATTTCACTCAACTCGTGGTTCATGACCAATTGGCACGCAAAGTGCGAGAGAGGGGTGATAGCCAACCACGGGGGGGGGGGGGGGGGGGGTTGGTTGTTACAAGGCGGAGGACGCACTATATTCGGAAACAGTGCTTATACATGTACGCCAATTTCCATTAGAATACATACATGTACTGTGCACTTGCATCTGACATCATAATCCTATCCATCCCTGGAGCCATGGTAAGAACAAGGGGCTTTCTTTTTCAATTACTACAGGTGGAATCCTGATAATTCGAACCTCAAAATGCCAGGAAAAACTTCTAATTAGGCCACCCAGAATTAATTCGTTGTTTCGGGTCACCCGACCGCAAAATGTTTTTTTTTTGATTGTGCATGCAAATGTACGTACATGACCATGATGACTAGTCGATCTCAGAGTCAGAAGCAGCCAAATGACAGGCTGCAGCGCTTGGTGACGACGTTGTATATTCTCCGATCCGCGATCGGTCCTGAAACAACATCAGCTCCGCCACCGTGTCGCTCATTGACAGAATTCTAGAAGTTTTGGTGGGAGCTGCTCGTCAGACTCGTTTGCTAGCGAGGTCAAGATCTGGTCCTGGAGCTAGCTGGGGACCTAGATCTGAAGGCGCTGGATCGTCTAGATTTGATCGACTGGCTTGATGGACAAAGGCTAATCGATAAGAGTAGATAAACAAGAGTGTGCAACTCCGGATCTCTCCTGCACAATCTGCAGATACCCCCGCCCACGGCGGAATTTTTTGTTGACGTCACCTTTTTTCAGAGAAACGCGCACTTCGCCGCAGAGCAGTGTGAGAGCACGTGCTGGGCACCGACCATATAGTGTAAAGCCCGACCAAGAGCACGAGGGAAAACTTTCCGAAAGACTCGCAGCGCGTGCGTCGTCGAAAAGATTACGTCAACAAAAAATTCCGCCGTGGGCCTACCCATCCGCGAGTTGCACACTCTTGTTTATCTACTCTTGTTATTATGTATGCACATGGCCATATGGCGCGCATGGCAGTAACCAAAATAAAAAAATATAATAAAATAAAAAATAAACCCGACCGACCGACCCTGGTACGGATGAGTGATGTGACCCGAAACAACGAATTAATTCTAGGTGGCCTTATCAGGACATTCTAATTATCCAAACATGAACCCACAACACAATATGTATGTCAAAATGCTCTCATGGTCACGCAGAGTTGCGCTATGGACCTTAGACACATATTTCGCGGATACTGAACTGACCGGCACAGCCTGCTCATGCAAACTGAACTGACCAGTACAATGTACAGTGAACTTCGAATTACACTTTGCTAACTTCGAAATATCAGCACAAATCCCACACATTTTCTATGTACCGTACTTCCCCACATATAAGCGCATGCGCTTATAAGCGAAAATTTGCTGCAAAAAAGATCTTTGGCTGTGTAAACATGTTCGGGTAGAAGCCCATGCGCTTATATGCGCAATACAGGTTTGTCTGTGTCCTAAGCAATGGTGTCATCACACCACTTAGTGGTATATTTCGCTCCCGCCTTTTCACCAATAGTGTTCACATATAAGCACATGCGCTTATAATTGAGGGGTGCGCTTATATTCGGACATAAGCACATGCGCTTATATGTGCGGAAGTACGGTAAGTGGAATCTGTGGGACTTCGAATTAACCGGACATATCCAGTTCGAGGTTCGAATTATCAGAATTTTTTATGCGGGACTCGTATTGATAGAAATCGGTCCTGGAAAAACTTCTAATTAAGGGGTATGTTCGAATTAAGCCATATTCGAATTATCAGGATTCCACCTGTATTAGGATAAGCATCCGGATTTAGGGGCCGTTTACATGAGAAAAATAAGCCCGGGCTTATTCAACCCTAGGCTTACGATAAGCCCGCCTTGATCTGTCACCCAGTCATTTTAGAGCGCGCGTTTACATGGTCAGGCGGGCTTATTCAGCTCGCCCCGAGCTGAACTAGCCCTACCCTTGACCCCCGAGCTTATCCAACCCCCAGGGCTTATTTTGTCATGTAAACGGTCAAGAAGGGCTTATAAGCGAGTTTTTCCGTATTTTTCGATTTTGCCTCGTGAACCTGAGAGAATGTGGCCGTGGACAGTGCGTCTCTTTTATTTATTTCTTGGTATGTTTTCTTCTAGTTTTTGTCCAGTGGAAGGTCCTAGCCCATCCTTCACCTTCTCGAAAAATAAGTGACAATTGGAAAGGCAGTAGAAACCTGAGCCGGCATTTCTTGATCCAAATTTCATCAGACACGAACATTTACCACTGCGTTCATGTGCGATTTGAAAAATAAAATGCGCGCAGAACTCGCAGTCACTCACCTGAACTCAGCCCCGTACAACCGTCATGTAAACGGTTGAAAAATAAGCCCGAGGCGAATAAGGCTTATTTTCCTCATGTAAACGGCCCCTTAGAAATGCACTTGAACGTGCTTCTAAGGATATCTTTCTTACCAGCCTCTTCCACATTCAGTATAAGATGCTCCGGAGCATATCGGTTAGCGAATTCGAGGCCTTCATCCATTGTCTTCACTTGCAGCACAAAACTCTTGCCGAGGGCAACACTAGAACAACAAAACACCCCACTTGAGTTAGGCATTGCTTATAGTTCACACCACCATTGATTTAAGCATTGCTCATGGTTCATCTACACTATTTTCCATGCACCTCGTTCTTGCCCAGTTGGATGCTGCAAAAGGGCAGGGCATAGATTAACGGCCGGACATCGGACATTTTCCGGCCATTTTCGGCCACTGACTGGACGTTTTCAATTTCACCAGACATAGTGTCCGGTCAAAAAAGTAAAAAAAGAGCAGCGACCTTTCGACCTTTTTATGCAGAGTTGGGCTTTCTTCGGAGCTTCGTGCCAAATGCGACTTGAATATCGTACAACTAACACGTACACCGTAGTCTCAGGCGTAGACTTCACTATATTTACTTGATCTGCCTGTAGCAACGCGTTGTTGCTACAGTCAATTCACACTTTCGAGTCTCGACCATTGGTGTCGACTTCGCACTTGAATCGATGGGTTGGACTGCTAGTGCAGTTGTTCGCTCTTGAGAGGAAGATGTCATCTTTTATTTTTCACTCTTTCACTGTACAAGTACTACTAAAAAGGAAGAAGAAACACCCTGAAAATGTGTCGTGGAAAATGTCCGGGCATGTCCGGACAGATTTCAAAACGGAAGGACATTTGTCCGAGCTAAATGAAATCCTTAAGCTATGCCCTGAAGGGCATCCTGAAAATCGCTCACACCCGGAAGTGTGAAGGATACACAACACATCTCGCACACACAACAACACACAATACAACACTTGCCAACACTGCATCATAGGGCATGTGCTCAAGCAGACTCACCTAGTAATCTCAGCCCGTGGTAGAGTGCTCAACTGCGACTTCACTTGCTCTTGTATGCAGTCCAACTCAGCTGTAGTTAGATTGACTGCGACGAGTACAACCTGCCCGAAACCAACGACAACAGCGATCAATGGTCAGCAGAGACATGGATGAGCATTGTCAATGAAATAGCAGAGTGCGGAAGGACTGGTTCCGCATGCTCTACAAGGTAGTTGACACTCTGAAGGAGACAAGAGACTAGCAGCAGTGCACCTACCTGACTATCTGGTCCGTGTTCAGCCTGAGAGAGGAGATCAGCTGCTACAAATTCTGGATTGGCTGTTGAGTCAGCCACAACCTACACACAGACAACCGAGGCAATCAATGCACATGTACACTATATACAGGTACATGAACATGTACACAGAGCACACACTACAGTGTACACACTACAGTGTACACACTACAGTGTACACACTACAGTGTACAATAGCAGTGGTAGCAAGTGAGATCTCGACGTCTGTTTGTTTAGCTTTATCTTACTTCACCATAGGCACGCGTCTGGGTTTCTGCACGTGAACATGCTCGATACGTGTGCACACATGCATGGGAAGTGTACGGCTATTCATGCACGCCCTTTTGCCTTCTTTCAACGTTGAACAGGATGGACAATTGCACATACAGTGGACACAATGGAACAGGTTGTTAGTTGTTAATCTGAGTGTCATGCTAATAGGCGATGATCAGACGATATTGTACATACACAGAGTAAGCAGCTACGTGTAAGTACGTTTACTGGGTGGTATAGAACTAGATGGATGTCACTTGCCACCACACAGCACTACGCAATCATACTTCGTATTTACACCAACAGAATAGATTGACACAGGTTTCCATGGCCAAGCATAGGACATTGTACGGATCACAGGAACTATGGTGGCCAAGGAGAAAAGATCGGTGTCAGCTTGAAGAGGACAACGCAGGTTTAAAACACACAACAGCACCAGTCATACTGACCATGACTTCTGAAGGTCCCGCCGGCATATCAATGCTAACCATTGCAGTACTGTCATTCTGCAAAGAGAGTGGTGAAAAACAGCACACAAGTACACCAGGCATAACGCCGGTAATCTCCACTCGAGAAAAGTGCACATGCCCGATCAAGGCAATGGTGGAAAATACTGGAAATGCTCATAGAAAAAATGATGGCGGCTTTTATGTCGACAATGGCGACAGATGCAATAGCAAACCAGGATCTCTGAATCGGGGAACAAACGTGTGAAAACAATCACCTGACGGGTGGTATCAGCACAGATATGGCGTAACCCAACACCACAGCTGCCATGGGCTCTCCTTGAAGACAGTTGCACTACCATACACCATGCATGTCCTCTCACCTGTACAAGCATCTTGGCCATCGTGACGAATGAGTTTCCGGGACCGCAGATCTTGTCCACTTTGGGAACACTGGAAAGCAAGACAAAGCACACAGTAGCTCACTACAATACGCACTACAGAATGCATGACACTACAGTATGCATGAAGCAAACTCAAAGAAGCCTGAAACATAATTACACACACACATTTAAAAAAATTTAAAAAAATGTCACTGTTCGCGTGAGACTCGGCTGGAAACCAAGTTTTCCGCATCCGTAGGAACGCCACCACCCTTCAAGGATCAAGGCGCAGATGCAGCTACACACACATACTGTACCACAAATACGGACACATCCGGCGAGGCTCAAAACTCCAGCACAGGATTCTAATCATCATCCTAATGGTAACCAGCAGCAATGAACAACAGAACATACCTCTTGGTCCCATACGCCATGGCAGCAATAGCTTGGGCACCACCTGGACATTAGAAACAAATAAGAAAGAATCCAGTTCGATCAAGGGCCGCGTTCCTGCAGGAAAAGACTAACGTAGTAATAGGAATACAAGCCACGAGTAGGTACAAGTTCGAATGCAGAAGCAGCTTCTTGAGCTCCGCCTTTTTCGTGTTTTTCACACTCGTTTTGATTGGTTTAATGCCTACCATAAGTGAGACAGAAGAAATAAACCCTGCTAGCATGTCGTATGACAAGATTCGTGATCTTGCTTACTTACCAGCTAAAAGTATTGTTTTGATACCACTCTTGGCAGCGACATACAGGACTTCCGGTGATATTGTGCCATCTTTCCTGGGCGGTGTTGCAAGCAAGACATTCTCACAACCTAACAAACAAACAAACAACAAGCAAAGCAAGAGCATTTCTTACAAGTACATTCAAGGTTGATTGAATGACAAGGAGGTCGGTCACCATATCTAGACAGAACGAGCCAAGAATGAGCAATGAGCAGTGAGCAAAGTGACCGTTGAGAAACATAAAGTGCAAACTTTCATATCCCAGCACAAACATGTGCGGCTTACGCACAGGAAACACCAGGGCATGATTTAGCACAAACAACAAAACTAGAAAAATTATCACTATGGACGTATCGACAGCCCAAGCCTAAACAGATGAATCATGTCTAGCCGAGCAAATGTGACTGAAGAATGAATCATGTCTGGCTGAGCAAATGTGACTGAAGAATGCCACACGATGGTAACACATATCAGCCAAGACTGGCAGCCAGGCAACAGCAACATCACACAGGTCTCACTTGGCCTTGCTGACGGGGGGGGGGGGGGGGGGGGGGGGGGTACCCACCACTTTCTCACTTACCTGCTACCCTGGCTGGTATGGCCAGCATGAGAGCAGTGGACGGGAGCACCGCTGAACCACCCGGCACGTAGAGACCAACCTGACACATACCAGCAGCATGTAACACAAATACAGGCATCGTCATCAGCCAGGGGTTTGACGAAAAAGTAAAGTCAGCCAGGGTTTTTGACTAAAAAGTTAAAACACATGCAATGGCGCCAGTTCAATCAGATACTAAACAATTTGAGCCACACTTGGTAGATTGTTACTCATAACTCATACTTCAAGAAGATATATGACTGTCATTCAAGGAGGAGCTACACCAAACCCGTCCTGAACAAATTGCTCGTATCACTCCTCGCCTAGCCCAGTGAGCCATGAAGTCGTAATAAGATTAGGGAGCATCAGTGAGCTGTGAAGTTGCAAGAAAGTTATAAAGCAGGGTCAACTACATTAGAATAATCCTGATACCTTTTGGATAGGCCTGGAGAATCGCTGGCACTTCACACCCGGGCATGTTTCAACCCGGAGAGTGTCCTGAAGTCACACAAGTCAACGAAGAACACACAGCATTAATGAAAGGGTTCAGGGAATAATTCCACTGATCAGTACTGTATACAAGCACAATGAATCTTTTATTAATGATAGTACCGACTTCAAGTACAACACAGCAGCTCTACTTCTGGCACCCATGGACAAGGTGGTGCAGACTGACAGTTCAAACCTTATGCATAAGTGACTCCCGGTTAGTGTAAAGGCACTGCATGAGTACATACTTGACAGAATAATTTAGAAATATACAGAACGACAAAGGCACAGGGCTAGGTTGTTGCAACTCGTTGCAACTCTTGAGTTTCATGCCACACACTAAACAGGCAGCAAGTAATTTAGAAATGAGGACAAACTACACCAGAAATCCGTATGCACATGTGCATAGGCGGTATATACTCGGAAATTCGCTACGAAGAAATAATCGAAAAGATGGTGGACACATTGAAGAAAGAGACTGCCACGTACATGGCCAGCCTACCTAGAAACACTACAGGATCACGGGTTACTGGTGAAGTTCAGCAGTAGAAGCAACATTTTCCATAAGACAAAGCTATGCCATGCAATGCAATGTGTTCAGGGTGCATTCAACCGAGGGTGAGGGACACCACAGACATACAAACAGTCTCAGTCCCCGCTCCTCTGAATGTGCAACTCCAGAGTTATTTCAATATTCGACACTCAAACACGTTTATGTATCACCGAAATAACACCACTTGCTAGTCGGCACACAATCAGTCATATCCACTGGCACACACTTACAGTGAGCTGAGCCTCGTGGAACTTGTGAACGTTAGCATACGCAACCTCTAGAGCATCACGCACATCGTCCGTCACCTGGACTTCTTCCTGAAACCAAAAGGACAGCACGTACATGCTGTCAATTGACAAAGTGCACATTGGGCGTGATGTACTTTGTAGCGGAGGACACCTGCACACAACAGCTCACACTCAAGCAGGAGACACCTAGCTCATTGTGTGCAATCTCAGGCAAAATTTAGACTCAGATTAGAACATACACAATAGCAAAGAACAGTGAAACTTCAGCACATGCATAACGTACCTCCAAGGGACATACAAATCAGTACTTTATACTCCATATCCCTGGTCAAATAACTGCAACACAACAGGATATGTTGGGTCTTCAAATACTGCAGAAGTACTTTATAGTCGACATACTCTATATCGCAGGTCAAATGGCTGGAAAAGGAGATGCTGGGTCTTCAAAACTGTGTACTTTATATCAAATGCAAAGCAAAAAGAATGTTATATCCAAGGCACTTTCTACTGAAGTTTCACTGTGCTAAAATAGGAATTGAATGTGAACGCTCCCTGCCAGAATATATGGGAGGTTGACTAACTCTGGCGGCCACTCACCAATGGAGGCACAGTGATAACAGGTGAGTCGAGTTTGACCCGATCAAACTTGGCTGTTAGTTCCAGGACAGCGTCATCGCCACGAGAGCGCACGTCAGCAAGAATTGGCTGCACCTGCAGACCAAAAGATAGTGAGCAAATGTGCACACATGCACGCAAACACACACACACACACGCACACCGATGGCTATTAACGTTATACGCAAAATACCACGTGCAAGAACGGATGAAAACCCTCACACAATGCCCACAATCTACTACAATGCAATGGAGAGAGCACACACACACACACTAAACATGACATTCTGTAGAAATAATTACGAGACTTGCAATACCAACATCAGACACGACACAGACGGATCACAGGAAGCTTACGATCTTCATCAGTCGGGCATTGTCAGTGACTGCTGGCCTCTGGCAGAGTTTCTGCTCCTGATCTGCAGTAATGGAGGATTTGTCATGCACCTGCAGGCTGGTAAACTACATCCGACATGCAAATACACACCAACCCAAAGAACAGTTAGATAGAAGAGTGTACCCTGTTCTCCAGAAACAATGCTGAAGAGATGAGCATACATGAAATGATTGCATGCAAGTTGGAAGAAAATGAACAGGAAAGCTGTGATAAATCCCTGGCTTGCAGCTTTATGAGAGTTAGACTGACTGACTTTTCCACACCCAGAAGAATGCCACCACCCTCAAGGACCAAGGCGCAGATGCAGCTCCTGACAAGATGCAAAGCACAAGGTAAACAATATCTGCTGGCATAAGCACAAGCACACATGCACATGTGCATGTATGACGCACACACACTGACACACAGGGCATGTCGCAGCACATGTGCCACACACATCTCACTACACATACCGGTTCAGGCTGAATCGACACCGTGGGCACAGGTGCTGCTGCTGCTGATCCTGCGCCTGACTTGTCCAACTTTGGGCCTTCTTGCGTCCCAAGCACTGGCCCAGCGGACAGCTGTGGAGACACTTGACGCATGGGCTGGGCGCCATTGTCTGCCAGCTGAAGTGAAACACAACGTTAATTAAGTGTATCAACGTCAGGTAACGTATGTAACCAATGTGACATTGCGCGTGCTGCTGCACCTTCCATCAGGTGTTGGCCACCCCTCCCCCCCCCCCCCCTTCATAATCGAACGCGCCACTGTACAGTGCATGGTTCAACATAATAACAAGAGTAAAACTTTTTTTTAAGTAAATTATCGTGTCCGTTCCCGAAGGGAACTCACGACGGCCGCTAACACCCGGTAAATCATAGCGGCAGATGCAGCGCCTAACGGTGGGGGTGAGTGGATAAGTCTCACAACCACTGGCACAAGTGCCGAGAACGACCCCATTAGCTGCATCCATGTACCCCTTGTGCCTGGCCACAAGTTCCCAGTTGACTGTGGGTAGCAGCACGGCTGGAAAAACCGCTCCCAGGCAGGACTTGAACCAGGTACCTCTCGTATCTCAATCATGGTCTTTGACCAACCCACTGTGCCTGCCAAGAGTAGATAAACAAGAGTGTGCAACTCCAGGATGGGTTGGCCCGCGGCGGAATTTTTTTGTAGACATAATCTTTTCGACGACGCACGCGCTGCGAGTCTTTTGGACAGTTTTGCCTCGTGCACTTGGCCGGGTTTTACGTGCCCAGCACGTGCTCTCACACTGCTCTGCGGCAAAATGCATGTTTTTCTGAAAAAAGGTGACGTCAACAAAAAATTCCGCCGCAGGCAAGGGGTATCTGCCGATTGTGCAGAAGAGATCCGGAGTTGCACACTCTTGTTTATCTACTCTTGATAATAATCATGTGCTTCCCTATGCAGGTTGCACTACATATACTTGTATATGCATGCAGGCACTGAAGAGTAGTGGCCCACTCTGCTGCTGCTTCCTTGCTACAGTGCAGTAAAATAGCAATAGGTCACTACAATCCTGCTGTGCAGTACTGCCGGGTGCCGTAGAACGTAGTGCCGAAGAACAAACAGGCTAAAATTTCACCAAGCAAAGCATACCAATGTATACACGGTGACTCAACTGTGCATAGACCACAGTACATGAAAATAAAAACGGCCTAGGCTTACCCCCCCCCAGTTCTTCGACACCCGAGAGTACTGTACTCAAAGAGTGAAGCCATGTGCAGATTTATACGATTACACACAAACTAACCCAGCCGCCCCTCTTCAATTTCGAGCTGGCTACAATCCTGCTTCAAACCAATCCTATGCCACCAGCATGAAGAGTTGATGAAAAAAAAACACGACGTTGCCGTTGTGTGCTAAAGAGTGAAGCTATGCAGATTCACACGACTATGCACAAACTAACCCAGCTGTCCTTTTTCAATTTCGAGCTGGCTACAACCCAGCTTCAATGCAGTTCTATTCCACCAGCATGAAGCGTTGATGAAAAAAAAACAGTACGGCATTGCCGTTGTGTGCTATGCAAGTGTAGCAGTGAACGGGGACGGAGTATCGTAAAGGAAGGATTCACACACACACACACACACGCACACACACACACACACACCCTCACCTGTATGTTTGGCTTGGCATCACCTTTACGGCGACGTACACGCCTAGTTCGCTGGTCAAGCTGCATGCAGGCACACGGAGCACAACCAAGCTACGCGTGGATTCACACAAGAATAATAATATTATGTACTCGATGTCTTGCATGGCAACATTGTATGCAACAAGACAATCATATTGTACTACTGTAAGACTTGAAATAGCAACGAAAACATACACAACGTATGAGAGTGTTGGGAAATCGTTAAACGTGCAACTTATTATGAAACATGTCCTGGTGTTTGTTAGTGTTGAAATGCACTGAAGTACAACAAACTGCTGTCAGCATCACCGCACCTCATTTTTAGGCAATTCAACTTCTATTTGGGTGACCCATGCTCGTGTGAATCACAGCACAATATGCCCTTCCTCTCAGTTGTGTTGGTAGAGGGTCAGCAGGGAAACACATACCATGCGCTCCACGTCGCTCAGATTGACGCCGCTTCGCACGCACTTGACCATGGCGAAGTAGAGCACGTCAGCTGCTTCCCAGGCCACGTCTTTTGGGCTCACTGAAAAACATGGTCACACATAGTGACACATCGGTATACATGGCAGGAAAGCAGAACACACCATCATGAATAGGTAAAATGCACTGCACAGCAACAAGGCCAAATAGACACTGTAGTATAACACTGGCCAGGGTCATCCTATCCTGCATCCTATCCTGAAAGGAAATCAGAATGTTTACAGCAGCTCCCTGCTAGAAACAGGGAGAGTACGGAACGAATTCTGCCACACGTTTCTGAAAAGCGCTCCATGCCTCTCTACTCTCTACAGTACTGTCGATCGTCGAAGAACTGGGGGGATCAGTCTCCTAGCCTAGATCGTTCTTATTTCCATGTAATACAGTGTATGCACAGTTGAGTCACCCGGTAGACCATGGTAGAGATTGGTATGCTGTGCTTGGTAAAATTCTAGGCCGCCGTTCTTCGGCGCTCCGTTCTTCGGCGCCCGACGGTACTGTAGCAATTATCAGACACCAGCCTACACTTCTTCTCGTTGTCTATTTGATATTTTCCGACTTTTCTGGCACTGAATACTGCAAATATGGCGTTCAAATGGGTATCTTCCAGCACCTGATCATGTCAGCCTCACACTAGATGACGGCTATACTACAGATCAGACAAACCCATTGACACATAGAGTCCGCAGTAAATGAACAGTGCAGAGCCTTGAGTACCAGCATCGCCAACACATGATGATCAATCAATGCGCAGCGGATTCCTCACCTGCATCTGCTAACTCCTGTGCCTCTTCCAACAGCTTTGACTGAAGAAGTCTGGGAAGGAGATGACATGCAGCAAGGGGCAGTGATACAATACCTATCAAGGATTCGGCCCACGCGATGGTATACAGTGAAACCTCGTTAAGAAGAACACTGGTAATACAAACATTTGTTACAGAAGAACTAGTATTAACTCTGCTGGATAAATCACTGTGTGTTCATCGTGTACAAGATAAGAACTCCCGTTATTGCAAACAAATACCATCGGTCCCCTGGTGTTTGTTCTAAAGAGGTTTGACTGTAATGTGCATGTACATGTACCCACATGACCGTATTGGGAATCCGAGGACTCAACAGTACAACATAACCATTGCACTAGAAGTACAGTACAGCACTATTGTAATCAGGGCCAGTTGGAGAATGCCGAAACAGTACTCAATGCACCAGAGTGCAGAATGTTATACAGTGAAGCCGGCCTAAGGTGACCGCTCAGAGGACTGTCCAAACGTGGTCTCTACTACCAGGTGGTCACCTAATCCAGGGTCATTTGACTGGAACGAAAATTCCTTGGTCCCCGTTGAAGTGGCCCTCTAGGACAGGTGGTCACTTTATCAGAGTGGTCGCCTCGACAGGTTTTACTGTACACGAATAAAGGAGATAGGAGTCTGGTCTACAGTAACTTAAAGCTTGATGCACTGAACGATCATCACACAGCAATCGTCTGTTGATTGCTCTGATTGCCTGTATTCGCATACCGTATTACAGTATTACTATGTACTACATGTACTGCTACTAGAATACTCTATACAATGTACATACATAACGTTAGCACATGATAATTATAATGATGCTCCAACACCTACTTATTGTCACCGAAGAGACGCTTGGTGTAAGATCCTTCCGGTGCGTTCTGCTTGCGAGATTGCTGCAAGCGATTGTGAGCATATTATAGCAACGAGATACAAGACGGGTGAAACGCAGACAAGTCTAGTCCCAAACAAGCCCACGGTGCACAGTTATTAAAGAATACATTGCATACGCGTCAACATGCTGCACGCTATGCAGAGATTAGCTAAAAGCACAGTTGTTGCTACAAGAACAGTGTGCATCCACAGACATGCGTCCCTGCAGTCTGCCACGATCAACAGAGCGCAGTGAAGTTCGCCAAACAAACAAGCAGCGCGAGCAGCACTGAAACAATATCGTACCAGTATGTTGACCATAGCTTCGAGGCCTGTGCGTGGTCCAAAGCAGCCATAGCGTTGCAGGTGACAGAAACCCACGCCATGCTGACGAACTACAAATCTGCATGACAAAAGTGGAGAAATTGACCGGCTCTATTCCAAATGACGTATGCATCAATATAATAATCACACACAGGTAAAACACCAGAGACCAAAAGGTTTTCTCCGAGTGTCACGTGCAAAACCTCAGACAATAATTATAATGATTATATCAGAGGTGGTGGTGTTGAGACGGCAAATGTAACAAAACCTGCCGTGCAAAGAGATCCATTTGTTCTGGTACAGTTCGAGATGCATGTAGGGCTATCAGCAAGTGTCTGCCGTTCCAATGCTTCCACTCCGGTACTTCACGACCATCTAATTCAGGCCAGCTCGCTGTCAATGGCATCTGATACATCCCTTGCATAGCAAAAATACCGCTCAGAAATAGTATACCATGTCTGAAAACAGTGCTGAGAAATCCAACGGCAGCACTGATCACCAATTTCAAAGGTTGCATAAATTGTACAGCACTCCGTCTCTGGTCATAAAGTAGGGGTGAAAGTTGACACTGAGATCGCGAGTTCGTGTACTCTGTTAGACTTCCTAGCAGAGTATGGGTGAAAGGCTCAGTAGAGACAAGGAGGCAAGGATTTCACTATGACATTTGAGTTTTCGCTAGACAGTATACACAAACATATCAGGTCCTTCAGTGCAGTGTAGCATGCTTCCAGTACAATACCAGCACATACCGTAGGCTGTCGAAATCACAGTCGATATCCACACGAAGCAGATCCTGAAAAGCAGCAGGCAGCACAAAGTCAACAAGCAACCACCTGGTTACACTCTGGAATGCGCCCTCCAGCGACAGAAAGAGACAGAAAGCTGAGGAAGTTGCTTGAGGACACGGTACCAGCATGTGACACACCCCGAAAAGCAATAGTGTGTGTGTGCCTGTGGCAGGTAGATTTTCAGGGCAGAGAGGGAATAAGGGGATAGGGCAGAGAGGGAATAAGGGGATAAGGCAGAGAGGGAATAAGAGAATAGCAAAATACATGGCCTGTAACTAACCTGAGTGTCTCCAGAGCTTTCACCCTTGTACCAGAGGCCTGTAGGAACAGCAAACAAGAGCGAGGGAGCGCAGCATTTAACAACAGCAGCAGCAGCAGTGAGGCACACAGCAGTGCAAAGACTGATGATGCACACTTGCCCCAAGCAGGCACACATGCACGCACACATAAACACATGCAAGCAGGCACACATACCTTCCCCTCACGGAGGCTCACTCACCTCGCTTTCTTGACTGATACACACCGCGGCGGCGACGGATTGCTTCCTCCAAGCTAGCCAACAACAATGTTTTATGCACACACAGACACCACATGAAAAACCTGACAGCAGGAGGAGTTTTCCTGAAGTTTCCCTTTCTTGTAATGACTCTTACTAGGCAAGTTACAGCGCATTAAGTCTTGTGGCTAAAAAGTTGTACATAACACATTCCTGGCATTGATAATAACGTGAGGGCTCAAATTTGACTGGCGGGATGATTGGCCACAGCGAGTACTAGTACACAGCCAGCTCGCTGTTCTGAGTTAAGTTCGCAAAGGAAAGTGCTGCACATTGATGTCTAGCTCGGTATCAGTTCTAGATGAGTCATGATGTGTTTTCGCTTGGTATGCAGTGGCTCTCCTAGCTGGGCATGGACGACTGCTCCAGTGAACACACTCACTCCTCTAGATCCCTAATTCGGACAAGGAGGCAGCGGATGGAATAGCAACATTGCTGGATGACCAGTACATGCTGCCAGTATTAATGGCGTCCTTCTAGCTCTGAACCCAGGATGAGCTGTTACAAATGATGATATCACCTGGGGTGTTGATGCTCAACGCACATTTGATAATGAAAGGAACATTCGAATACTAGAAGCAGGTGTGAGTGTTTGTTTTACCACTACAAGTTTGAGTAGAATAACTGGTGTGAGGATCGGCTTAGGCGGCCGTAAGCACTGACGACATGTTACAGAATACTGGCTGCATAGTACATAGGTCAGCACAATGAAACTGCTACACACTCACCTGCCAGCACTGGAGTACACCAAACCAAGGCACATCTGTGACTCATCCACCTGTAGGCCGTAACAACACGCCCAAGGACAAGCACACATAATAATTACGACATAGGCAAAAGGTGCATGCATGCATGCGTACCGGTACACAGAAGCACACAGTCAATCTCATAAGCACGCAAGGCACACAGCATCAGATGCAACACAGGTTAGAATCACAGGTATGGGACAATCCGTGTCCACTCCGAGAAGTACTCGTACATATTCTCGTGTTGACATTGGCACACCCTGATCAAGGGGAGCATGCCAACATTGAGTATTGGCATGCCCGGCAAGGATGTCAAAGGTGAGAATGTGGAAACGGAATGCCGGTAGTGAACAAGGAGGTAGAGCTTAGCATGTGATGATGAAATACATGTATTGAACTGGCCCATGAGTGCTGTCATACTTGATATCTGGGTCTTCCTCAGAACTTCATACATGCTGAACCTGTGCATGACCACCTATCTGCATCACCCCAGGATCACATCAAGGAAGGATTCGAAGTGATTACACACTTTCCTTTACGGGACTAAGTATGCTTCTGGTTCATGTGATTACACAATAGCCACACAAAGCGGAAAGTATACATTGAAAGCAGCCCCATTCCGTATCATGCATGACTTACCACCACAGTTGGTACAAGACCATCTTCGCGATCACTCTTCACAATACTGTTCAATATGCCTGCAACGCTGAGCTCAGCGTCCGGTTCAGTGAGATCTCCAGCCAACTGAGACAGTGGAATGTCAAGAAGAGAGAGAGAGAGAGAGAGAGAGAGAGAGAGAGAGAGAGAGAGAGAGAGAGAGAGAGAGTGAGTGAGTGAGTGAGTGAGTGAGTGAGAGAGTGAGTGAGTGAGAGTGAGTGACAGCAAGAGCATGACAGCAATGCAACCGAATACTTCAATCTAGAGACATGAGATATCCCTGTCTAAATCTTCACCTGCAATGTGTAGCCAGCCTTGAGGATCTTCCCTGCTTCGAGACAAGATGGAGGCTTTCCAGACACAATCACTTGAAAGTCTGTACACGGATAAAATAGAAACCAACTCAATTCATCAATAAAGTAGGATGAAAAAAGAAACAATTAGGCACAAGTTATGAGCAACTGCCCAGCAATCTCGCCAGATGATAAAACAGATAATTTACAATTTGGCCCACAATCGACAGAGAACACTGTGACACTCCCAGTCAGTTTAGAGATAAATTATCGCACAATCAATTTGTTCGTGATCCATGAAACGCCGTTGCTAATAATTCATGCCTTCGCACATTCTAAAGTTGTTATATTTCTCGCTGGCCGAGCGGAGTGTCACATCTGGCTGCGGCGTACTACCCTCACTCTGTGCTCCTGCCTCTGTTGTCTGGGTCCATGTCGTTATGTCGGTGTATGTGGAGCGAGAAATTGGGTCTCTAACCGATTTCTAGTACTCGTCAGGGGGATCAAGTCATGCCACTGTTGTATATTTCAGCTATCGGCAGGTGTGCTTTCGAGTCCTGTAGCTAGACATTTCCTTATGTGCCATCGACTCATCGTATTGATGGACAAGCTCTTGCCATCTACAGTATCCGAGAATTAATACTGTTTTACATTGGCACATGTGTCAATTTTAACAAGCTTCAGCCTTGAAAGCTCTCTAAGGCCTCGTTTACACGACAACGATTGAAAAACGTTTTTGTCAAAAACGTTTTCAAAAGAATACGCTTCCACAGATTTTGATAAGAGCGTTTACACGACAACGCTGAAAAACGTTTCAAAAACGTTTCAAACGAAAAACGGCCTCAAAGTGTTTTTCAATCGTTTTCGTTCCGTTTCGTTCTCGTGTAAACGGCAAAAAC